GAGGGGTGGGCTGCAGGGGAGGGAGAGAGGAGAGGAGGCTGGGGGAGGGGAAGCGGAAGGAGGAGGGAGCAGGAAGTGTGGCTGGGGAAGCACGGAGGCCGGTGGAGGCTGGAGGTGGAGGCTTCGGATTGGGAGTTTGCAGAGTCCGGGAGCCTGTGGAGGCGGGTCCTGACAGGGAGGGGCCAATGGCCTCCCAGCAGGAGAGGGGGCGGAGCTGGGGACCAGGGATGCCCACGGGGGACTGACAGGTGGAGACAGGCAGGAAATGGGACCTGTCCTGAGCTGAAGGAGCTCAGTTCCAAGACTGAACTGATTCTCCCAAAAATGCTAAAGAAAATCTCTACGGGCCCTGCTGGGAGGGTCCCTCCTCAGCTTCGGGAGGGATGTGGGGACCCCTCAGCAGAGACTGCACCCCTGGGAGGCGCATGGAGGTCAGTGCTGGGGGTAGGGGGGCCCACGGCAGGCCTGAGTGCTGGCCGCTGAGAGCAAGGGAGTAGATGAGAAAGAGCCCGGGAGGGCACGCCCAGGGTGGTGGCCCCAGGCTTGACTCCGGGTCCCCAGGTCCCCGCTGAGCTTGTGTTTCTGGTGCTTCCTGTTATTATTAGCATTGTTATTACTAATGAGCATTGGCATCAATATCAATACACACATGTGGATTCCTGGTTCTCCTCCTACTTACTTGGTGGATCCTCATCTCCTCCCCCAGATGGTCCGTCACCTTCAAGTTCAACCCCAAGGCTTCATTCCTCCCATCTCCCTCCCTGCAGGCCTGCCACAGCCCCAGCCCCCACTCTGTGTGGTTAGATGCCTGCCTTCTTGAAATTCCATGAAATTTCAAATTTATAAGTATGAAATTCCATACTGAGGGGTGGGGGCCCGGGGGCCAACCATTTGCAGAGCCCCAGCAATGTACCAGGCTCTGTGATAAGCATTCACACACATCAGCCCTGTTACTGTTTCATGTTACAGAGGAAGAAGAGGAGGTTTGGGGGCTTATGACACAACTGTGAACTCAGGTCTCTCTGCAGAACAGAGGTCTCTTCCTTTGCAGGTGTGAACAAGACTAACTCACGCACACTTATCACAAGTTTTCTTCCCCTCCCCTTTCTTCTTTTTTCCCCAAGACACCCACCATGGGTCCATCATCACTGGGGGACTCAGCCCCTCGAGTCACCCTATCCCCTTCCTCTCTGTTTCCTGACTTGGCCAAGGGCTCCAGTCCCCCTCCTGGCACGCGGTGTCCCACCCTGTCCTCCCAAAACGCATGCAGGAAGGCCATATGGGCGGCACCAGGCTGCCTTGTCCAGCCTCACTGGCCGGCACAGTGCCTGAGCTCCCCCAGCTTGACCCAGAGCCACGTGGTTCCACCCCACCTGCAAGGTCCCACTTCCCTCTAGGCTCTGTCCCCTCTGCACGTCCCTCCTGATCGGACTGCAAGAAACTGACTGGAACGGGTTTTGTGTCCACACCCCAGGAATAAATGAGAGATCGAGGCAGAGCGGTTGGGGCAGAGTCCAGACAGCAAGCAGGACTTTCCAGAGATATTCCGGGGAAGCACGGGGCACCCGTCCCCTGCCTCCAGACTGTGACTGTGTAAATCTCAAAACCCCTGGGTTTCCAGGGAGGCAGGAAAACCACCAGTCCCTCCCAGAGTCACCACCAGAGTCTGTGGGCCCAGAGCACTCGCCACGACGTTGGGCCACAGGATGCTGAGACTTACTCTGACGGGAACCCAGAGAAGAAACTCACTGGGATTCCATGCCTCTCGGGTCTTGAGACTTGGTGGCTTATAAGAGGATGACTAGAGCATCACTCCCTAAAACCTGGAGAGACTCGGGAGGAACTGAGTCAGGAGGGACCCGGTGTCTCCTGAATAGATTTCCCAGGGTATCCTGGGAGACGAATTTATGGGAATTCTGTGGATGACAAGCTAGGAAATCTGTGGTCACCCTGAAGGTGACCAGGGACACATAAATGATCTCATTTTTCAGTGAGCAGAGGAGCTGGACTCCCACTCTGGCAAGGCTGGGGAGAGACACAGAAAGCAGCACAAGAAGCCAAAGGGAGACAAGAGACTTTGTGCCGCTAGCATCTCCACAGAAAACCAGAGAAGAATCAGGACTGTTCTTGGGATTCCCTCTCCTGAGGCAGCATCTGGGTGCACAGCCGTCTGCTTGCATGGTGACATAGCCCACCTAAAATTTACCAGCCCGTTGTTAAGTGCAGCCATTATTAAAATTAATTTCTATAAGTTTACAATTAAATGACATTAAAACAAAAGAGGTAAGTACTCAGAACTCATCACTGCCTAATTATCTTACTAAGGTTCTTTTTTTTTTTCTTTTTTTTTTTGAGAGAGAGAGAGAGAGCACGCGCGAGCACATGTGCAGCGGGTGGGGGACGGGGGGTGGGGGACAGAGAGAGCAGGAGAAAGAATCCACCCAGAGCCTGCTGTGGGGCTCCATCTCACAGCCCTGAGATCATGACCTGAGCCGAAATCAAGAGTCAGACGCTTACCTGACCAAGCCACCCAGGCACCCCTACTAAGGCTCAGTACTGTCTCGGTGCCGGAGGTCATTTGCTTCCATGGAACCTGGTTCGTGCAACTAGCCTACAGGGACGTCCTTCTGCATGCCACTCCCACTCCGTGCCGGGACACCACGTCCACGCTGGCAGGGCGCACATCTCGGAGAAGGCAACATGCTACCAATCAGGGCTCCCCTGCCCTCACCCTCCTCCACTCCCAAAGCCACCATTACACACTCACCCCCACAAGTGTTCTCCCCCAGCACTGACAAGGGCTCAAGCGGACGGAGAAGAGACCCAGGGGTCCCTGGGCAGACTCCTCTCCCACTCACCACGGTGGTGAGGGCAGTGGGACTGAGCGAGCGCCCACCTGGGCTTTACGAACCTCCCCAGGGCACACTGGGTCACCCTATGGGAAGTTGTTTCCAGAGCCTCCCTAAAGTCTCTCTTACTGCTTTATAATGAGCTTTTCTTGCCAGACCTCACTGTCCTCACCCCTCAAATGAAGGCTGTCTGAGCATGGCTCCTTGGTTCCTGGAATGGGGAAGAGGATGTCATTCAACAGCAAGCTGGCCGTCAGTCCGTCCCTCACCGACTTCCAGGAGGCTGAGCTGGAGGCTCCTCAGACTGGGAGAGCCTTTCCCAAGTCATCCTGTGCAGGCTCCTGCCTTAGGGAAAAGTGTGCCAGGCGCAGTGCCCGGCCCAAGGTGTAACTCTCCCCGCAAGCAAGTCGTCTTACGGATGCTCATGGATGTGTCCAAAGGCAATGAGGGGTGCACGATCCCTGCAGTTCTCCACATCCCTAACCACTCGATCCTCTTCCCCTATACCCCACTCATCCCCAAGAACCCACCCCACTTCATGGCTTTTGTCCCTGGCTCCCTCAGTCCCACCACTGTCTCTCCTTTCTCTTCCCAAGTTCAAGCAAGCCAGAGCCAGCCATGCCTTCGCCCCTTGGCAAATACCCAAGCCAACCGGCAGGGCTTCATAGCTGTGTATAGCCAGGCAGGGGTTCAGGGCTTTACCAGTTTAGAAACTTGGAACCCGGGTACTTTGAGGTCCATCCATACCCCACACTTCATGCAGTCCCAGGGTAGGAGCAGGGCGCATTAGGAAGCCTACCGAGGAAAAGAGGCAAAGAGAAGGAAACGCCTGGGCTCTCACCAGGCAGGCGGCTGGGCAGCAGCTGGTAGAAGCGTGTTCTACCCTCCGTGTTCAGCCCCTCCGCCCCTGGACCAGACACACCGTTGCCTGTTGCAGACCTCCTGTACGGAGTCGAACCCCTTGGTCCCCTAGAGGAAGCGGACTTGGAAATATGACATTTAGGGCTCCCTGAGAGAACGTGGACCAAGAGATAAAAAAGCTCTAGGGAACAAACACTGGGTTCAATAGAAGAAATATCTCTCTGACTGTCAGAGGCCGAAGAAACTGATTTGGGAGATAGTAAGATGCCCCTGGAGGTACGCAAGAGGTCGGAGCATCCTTTGTCAGGAATGCTGTAGCAGGAATTCAAATATCAGAGAGACAGCCTGAGGTCCTAGAGCCAAAGAGCCTGCTTCAACACCTGCGTTACCTTTGTGGCCTTGGTCAAGATACCTATCCCTCAAGCCCTGGTTTCTTCCATCTGCACGAGGGGACAGCTCACGACATCATACGACTAAAGGAACGATTAAAGAAGACAAAAATATTGGAAAGCACCTGGCCCTTAGTGGGTTCTCAAAAAATGTCCGTCGTTTTCCATTAAAGGGGGGCGTGGGGGGGAGCGGTTACTTTTGAGGCCCTCAGAGGTCTTCTACCCCAGAGTGGGGCTCTGAAACCCTTCCTGGCAGTTGAGAAGGAAGGCATACGCCCGGAAGAGAGGAGGAAGGAGGAGGACAGAGATGTGGGAGGAGGACGAAGAGTGCGGAGGATGGCTGGGAACCTTCGGGGAGGTCAACTCGGCCAGGCCCCCGGTTCCCCTCCTCTACCTTCCAGAATGGGAAGGGAAAGCGGGACGTAGGGTACAGTTGCCCCATCCACCCCCGACCCCCGCAACCCCTTCCCGCCCGCCCGCCGCCTGCCAGAGGTGGGAGGGAGGAAGGGCGGGAGGGCAGCCCCCGCCCGGGAGCAGCCGCCCGCGTCCCCGGCCCGCGTCGCCCCTCGGCGGAACCACAGCCGGCACAGTCTGAGGTCTTACAGGTGCTTTATTGTGCTAACACTGCCGCCGGGGAGCTCAGCTCTCCCGCGCCACCAGCCAGTCCGGACCCGCGCCCCCTCCCCGGTCCCGGGGCCCCCCGGCTGGGCTGGAGACGCCGGGCGTTCGCTTCGACCGCGCTCGGCGCTGCCCCCTCCCTCCCGCTCCCGGCCCCCGCGCCCCTCTCGCCCGGGCCCCGAGGAGGCGCCGCGGGCCCCCGTGGCCCGGAGGCGCGGGGCGGGCGCGGCGGGCCCGGGGCCGAGCGCATTCCCAGCGGCGGGCGGGCGGCCCCGCGGCGCGCTCACACCAGGAGGCCGTCGGTGCGCTGCCGCGGCCCCTCGGCGCAGTCGGCGGGCTCCGCGCTCTTGACCTTGACGTAGACCGGGGAGGGGCCCGCTTCGCAGGGGCCGGCGGCGGCGGCGCAGGGCGCCAGGGCCACATCCTCGGGGCCGCCGCAGGGCGGGGGCGCGTACTTGCGGCGCAGGGAGCGGCTGACGGTCTGCGTCGGGTACCCCAGCAGGTGGGTGACGCTGCGGCCGCGCCCGCTGGCCTTGCACCCGGGCGCCTCGGCGTCCTCTCTGTGGAAACAACAGGCGGGCGGGTGAGCGGGATCCTCCGGGCGCGGCGTGGGCACGGCCTGGCGGGAGCCGGGGGCGCCGGCAGCCTCTCGGCCCCGCGCCTCCCTCCGCCTGCGCCTCGCCTCTCCCTCGGCCTCCACCTGCACTCCTCTGCCTCCTCCGGGTCGGCGACCCCGGGGCCACCGTCTGTACGCCGCAGACAGAGCCTGTCCGGCAGCCCCGTCAGGCGCCCTGCGGCCCCGTCTGACGTGCGCACCTCCGTCCGCCTTCGCGGGAAGGGAGGCGCGGGGACCCAGGAGGGGCGGCCTTACCTGTCCTTCTCTCCGTAGCTAACACCAGCCTGGCCTCTCGCTTTCTCTTCTCCACACCTCTGCCCCTCAACCTCCTGCTCCATCCCTTCCTCCATCCCCAGGGCACTGCAGCCATTAGCACGACTAGTCTTGTTCTATTTTTATTACTAGGTGGTTTCTGTATGTTATTAACACTATTCTTACTATTGACTCTTCTTGAATAAGCATGTCCAGAATTATCACCGGCGCGAAACAGGGGAAACACGCAAAAATACAGACCCTGCCCTCCAGGAGCTTACAGTCTAGACGAGACGGACAGAGAGGTGCACCGACAGGAGGGAAACGGAGGGCAGGGGGTAGAGGTGAAGACCGGCGCGGGAGGGGGAGGAGCCAGACGAGTGGCAGGTCGACATGCTGCGGTCCCAGCACTCCTGGCGATGGCAGGCAGGGTGGGGGTGGGGGTCCCGCCGGCGGGCGGCAGGCGGGGGTGAGGAGGGCAGGGCGCCGGTCCCCCGCCACTTGGCGGCATGCACCATGCATCAGGTTTTACCTGATCTCACTAGCCAAGTCGCCGCAGGCCCCGCCGCCGCCGACCCCGCCGCCAACGCCGTTGCCGTAGCCGAAGGCACCGCGGGCGCCGCCGGCCCCCTGGCCCCCGCAGCAGCAGCAGATGAGCCCCCAGATGCCCACCAGCAGACAGCCCAGCATGAGCAGAGAGCCCAGCACTGCGCCTATGATCATGCCGACGCGCCGGGAGTCTGTGGAGAGAAGTAAGAAGGTCGGGAGCCGCTCACCGGGACAGTCCGGGGCAGGCGCTCGGTGGGAAGGAGAGCCAGGATCCCAGGCCATCTCAGGGCCCTGGGACACCCAGTGAGGAAGGATGGGGAGAGGCAAGGGACCCCGCTAAGTGCATGTTTCTCCCAGGGCTTCCTGGCAGCCCCCAGCAGAGCCTCAGGCACTAATGGCAATGGGCTGGCAGAGGGGGGGGGGCCTCCAAACACAGCCCAGATTCCTTCAGCCCCGCCCTCTGGTCCCCGGGCCCCCAGGGCCACAGCCACTGCACCTACCTGAGACCTTCACCTCCACCACACACACACTGTAGCCCACGTGGTTGGCCACTGTACACTGGTAGAGTCCGTCGTCCTCGCGGGAGATGTCCTTCAGCAGCAGGTCACCGTTGTTCAGACCTGAAACTAAAGAGCGCCAGGGGGCTGGAGCGAGGCCCAGGGGCCCGGTGTCTGAGAGCGCCACCCGGGCCTAGGCTGCTGTGGGGGCCGAAAGGTGGAGGCCCACCCCAGTCTCCAGGTGAGTCCCTTTCCCCCAGCTGAAACAGAGAGGCAAGGCAGGCCCCTCTCCCAGCACCAGCACAGAGACACCCTTCGTTCATTCTGTGACCTTAGGGAAATGCATCCCCTCCCCAGGCCTTGATGTCCTTCTTTGTACAGGGAGAACAAGGTTAGACCCGAGAATTTGTAAAGGCCCCTCCAGCCCTGATACTCTCTGGTTGTGAGTCATGCGCAGCTTCTCCCAGTCTCCCCCCATTTCCTCCTCACACGGCCCTGGAAGGTAGATGTTATTATTCCTTTTCTGCGGGAGGGAAGCCAAGGCAGAGCAACGTGCAGCCGCTTGCCTGAGTCTTGCCGCCAACCAGTGGTGCATCCAGGAGCCGAGCCTCGCTCTTACCTATCTGTCCCAGACCGTGCCCTCTGCACCCTGGGGCCCGCTGCTCGCCCAGTCCCACCTTGGTTCAGGGAGCTGTGGAAGGACTCCTGGTAGGAGAGCTCGGAATGGAAGCTGTGCTGGGAGTGGTAGGAGCCGGCCCGGTAGGGGCGGGTGTGCCCGCTGATCTTGGCCCACTTGTAGGAGAGCGGCGGGGTGCCGCCGTTGGCAAAACACTTCAGCACCACGTCGTTGCCACGGGTCATGTGGCCCTCGGACCAGCACATGGGCACCGCAGGCCGAGCTGCGGAGAATGAGGCAGGTGTGAGCCAGGGCCCCGCCCAGAGGCGCCGCAGCCTGCGTCAGGGGCGCCCGGAGGCACCCGGCGGTACCTTGGACAGTGACGATGACCTTCCGGCTGGCCATGGTTGTCTTCTTCACCCTGCACTCGTAAGTGGCCGTGTCCGACACCTGCAGGTTCATGAGGTTGATGGAGGCATCGTACTGGCTGGGGTCCGAGGCGGCGAAGCGGACCCTCTGCTGCAGGTGGGGGAGGTTGCCGTGATTGATCCTCTTGTCCTGGTAGCTCAGGAACTGTGAGGAAGAGGAGAGCACAGACATGTGACACAGGCAGAGCAAGGGGCCCCGCGTGGCTCGGCGTCCTCAGGAGCCTCGCTGAACTTCGCGGAGTCCCTGTGGAGGGTAGCCATGGTAGTCATGAAACCCGACCCTAACCCCATGGTGAGTGCGTGAGAGCAGATGAGATCAGGCGCTTTGGAAAGCGCAAGGTCGGGCTGGGACTGCCCTGAGGCCTCCCAAGTGCCGTATGCAGCAGGTGGGGGTAGGCGGGTGAGGTGTGACTTGTGATGGCAGAGCCCTCCCCCTGTAGCCCCTTTTCCCAGAGAGGCCGTGGGGGAAGTTCAAGGTCTTCATTTGCTTCTCTGCCCTCCCTTTTCCCCGGAGGGTGTCAGCAGCCCTACAGGTTGACACCATGAAGCACAGGGTAAGGCGGTAAGCCAGACACTCACTACATTCTCCCGATGGGAGGGGTCTGAATTGAGCTGCATCCACTCGATGTCCAGTCCATTGGGGCCATAGTCCTCAGGGTCCAGGATGTAGGGGCAGCCCAGTCTCACGTTATCACCTTCCGCCAGGTACAGGACCTCCTGGCCATCCCCGTTGATCCGCACAGCAGTCAGCAGCGCTGGGGGAGGGGCAGATGGGGGTGGAGAAGACGGGGAAGTGGGGGCATGAGCTCCAGCCCCTCTCTCCACCATTCTCAGTGGGAAGGAGCCGCCGCCCCCCATTGTGTGTGTGTGTGTGTGTGACAGAGAGAGAGAGAGACAGAGAGAGACAGAGGCGGCAGGGATTGGTCTGTGCATGTCTGTGCGTACTTGTGTACGTGTCTACAGTCTACACTAGTGTGGGATGGTACCTGAACACTGTTCACATGTGTATTCCTGTTACGTGTGCTTGCGTGTGTGCATGCATGATTGTGTGTGCACATGTGTACACATTGTGTGCTTATGAGTATTTGTGGCTGCTCAGGTGTACTGTAGGGATCCTCCTGCATATAACCAGGGTGTCTTATACACACAGGACTGTGTGTGCGTGTGTGTGTGTGTGTTTGAGCGAATGAAAGAACCAGAGTCGTTAAATGCTCTGATGGAGAAGCCGGGCTTGTGAAGAGACGTCTCCTCTGGCCAGGGAGGCACACCGGCTCTAGGAGGATGGGCACCACGGCCTCCAGGGTCCCTTTCCGTCCCAAGGAGCAGATGGCTGGTCATGCTTGTGTGTGCGTCTCTGTGTGTGACCCTGCGTGTCTGTGGCCGCAAGCCTGGGTGTGGCTGCGTGTGACCCGCTGTATAAGTGCTCTGAGCGATCGTCTGTGCCCGTGCGCGACAGGAGGTAGCCAGGCTCCTGTCTCATGGTTTTTGTCTGATGGTGAGGGACGCTGGGTGTCTGGAATATGGCCCGTGCCTCTGCAGCACAGTCAGAGCCTCGCGTGGTGACATGGCATCGTGGTCTTGTGTCCTTCCCTATACGACGGTACGGCTCAGGGTAGCCGCCCTCTCCTGCTCGCTCCACTTGGGGCTCCTCCCACTCCGAACAGCCTGAGCTGCGCTGAGTCAGCCCTGGTGAGGGGCCAGGATCCCGAAGCTCAGGACTGGGCTCCTTGCCCTCCCTAATCTGAAGCCCCAGGCAAGCGCTAGCCCCAACCGGTTGGACCCAGAGAGGAAGACAAAGGGGGAGGGGTGCCAGGGCCCCAACCTTGGCAGGCAGGGCAGGAGGCTCCACCTCCCAGGCCCCTGGCCCAGCCGGGCTCTCTCTCCCCCTGTGCTCAGGACAGCCGGCAAATCCTCTGGAACCCCAGCCCTGGTCTCAGGTCTCAGCCTCTCCTTCGGCTCCGCCCTTCCCTTGATCTTTCTGGGGCCTGCGTTCTTGGTAGAGAGTGTGTATCACACACACGTGCAGTGACGCGTGGTCACAACCACACAGCAACACACTTTGGCAAACTGTCCGGATGCAGCTGTGCGCCTGTGCCGTCCCACCGCCCTGCCCACCCAGACACTGTCCGACCTGGACGGACCCGCACCCGCACACTGACACCAGTTTGCATTCACCTGGAAGACACACCCGCCGCACACTCCCAGAGTCCTCGTGTGCATTCCTTCAAGACCAGACACATCTTCAGAAGCTTAACCCAGTTCTAGAGAGCCAGCAGGGGCCCTCTCAACAGCCCCGGAGCCCTCAAGAATCACTGAGCTTGCCCCCGGGGACCCTGGTGGGGCAGCAGCCCTAACCCCATAGCTTCCAGAGGGACCCGAAGCAGGCAGGCTGGCCACTGGGCGCTAACGGGATCCGGGGATGCCTCCTCCAGCCCCAGGCCAAGAGAACACCCGCTCTCCTGAGATAAGGATCCTAGTGCTGACTGCCAGTTCCCCGGGCAGCAGGAGGCACTCCAGGGATGGGCCGGCTCAGCGGAGAGCACAGGCTCCACCCTGAGGAAGAGCTTCTGGGAGCAACCCACAGCCCTGAGGCCTGTCCCCATCCCCAGGGGGCCAGCTGTCCCATCCCCAGGGGCTAGTGGGCAGGAGGGTCTGGGCATTGGGAAGGAGGGACAGGCTGAATGAGAGTGCCTCCACCCTCCGCGGTCCCAGGCCAGCCTCACCAGCCTCTCAACCTCCACCCAGGGCTCCAGCCTTTCCACACCCCTTCACGCTACCCTGAGGAAGTCGTTCCTGCTGTCTCACCTTGGTCCCTCATGCTGTGGCACTAAGGACCTATTCCAGGAAATGGGAGAGAAGAGAGAGATTGGAGAGAGGGAAGAAAGCCAGGGTGGGAGAGAGAGCTGGTCAGCACAGAGAGGGAGGAAGGACAGGGGCAGTGGCGATGCATGGTCCCCCACAAGGGCACAGGGTAGGGGCTGCACTTCCTGCTCTCAGCTTGTAAACTCTCCATGAATACTCAAGCTGCTTCCCCAGCTGCTCACCCTCCCTCTGGAGGTGGGGGAGGGGACAACGGGCAGCCCTCAGGAGAGAGTACTGGAGCGCGGGGTCTGCCCTCCTGCACCCACACCACACACATGGACGCGTCCCGAGTGGGCCCTGCCGACCTGCTCGCAGCGGCCCAGGGGCTCTGCAAGCACCTTGTTGACAATACAATCTCTCTCTCTCACATGTACACACATGCACACACACGAGCATGAACAAAGGCTGAAAATGTGCTCCCCTTCCCGAGTTCCTCCCACAAAGCCCTTCTTGCCGAATCCAGAACCCCTGAGGGTCTCGGAGCCATTTCCAGCGAGACCCACACAGAACGGCCCATGCTGGGACTTGCCCCAGCCCGGGCAGGCGGCCACAGCATCTGCTCCCCAGCCCTGCTCTCAGGTGTGCCCTGCTGGGGTGAGGGGGCTCTGGGCAGCTCCCTCCTCGCCCTCCTCAGGCCTCATGCCAGGGGTGTGGCGCTTCCCAGGGCCTCTCAGAGCTCAGGGGCCTGGAGCAGGGTCTGTCCTTGCCCCCACAGACTATGCCGAGGCTCTGCCTTCTCGTGGCAAGCACCGCCAGGCCCTTGACGCTAGCCTGGGGCCGGGGGGTCCGCACTCTGGGACCAGCACACGCCGAGGAGAGGGGTCTTTCCCGGCTCCTCCTCGGCACCTCCCGCTTTGCTGCTCACCTGACCCCCTGCCCCACCCTCAGAGCCCTGAGTCCCCCAGGCAGGCCTGGGCTCCCATGCACAGGTGCATGCGTGTCTGAGCCCCGCCCGGCTCACAGGCACAGCCGAGATCCATCGGGGACTCCTGCCCCACAGACACGTGCCCCAAACCCTCGGGCACAGGGCTCTCCTGAGGATGACCCCTTGGCCATATGCACCGGGGGCGGGCAGCAGGCGTCTCTGACCACCCCCAGGCTCCTCTGCGGGGCCCTCGATGCCCCTCTACCTGCCCCCTTGGCCCCAGCGTCGTGTGGGCGTCCCTGCCCGATGTCCAGCGCATACCTGGGCTCAGGCACACGAGCAGAAGGCGGAGTGCTCCTCGAACTCCCATGTCTCTAGGCTCCGTGTCTCCTCCGCCTGGGCTGGGTTTCCCGGGGGCCGGTGGTGGCGGTGGGCGTGTGGGGACGGGTGGAGGGAGGGGGGACTGAGGGCCCAGACACTGCCCGGGGTGGCAGGAAGGTGCAATGAGTGCCCAGCCGCGGCCGGAGTTATTTCTATGGGAGGGAGGGGGCCTGGTCCCCGCCTTGGGGAGGAGCCCCAGGAACCCTAATTATCGGGGTGACAGAGTGGCCTACCCAGGCATTACCCAGCCCTCACCCAAGCTCTTCCCGATCCCGAGAGTGGCGCAGGGCGGCCAGCGGGTCTTGTAATTAGGCTCCTGTTAAACTTCCACTTCCTCCTGGCCCCATCCTCGGGGTAACAACAGTCGCCCCATTTCACAGCGTCCACAGGGCTCCCCTCACCACTCATTTGTCACCTCCTTCCCTGGGGGAAATGGGGAAGTGGAAGGAGAGTCAGGCTTGGGGAGGAAGGGCGGCCAGGCCTTGGAGGGTTAATACTGAGCCCAGGCCTGACCCAGCCTCCCCTGCAGGCTCCAGCATTCCAAGTCCCTGCTTCCAGCATCCAGACCCTGGGGACACCCCCCCACGTGGAGGTCTGTGGGAAGTGGCCTGCTGGGAAGGGGACATAGGCTGGAGGGAAGGCCCAGGCAGATGAAAGGGACCAGAGAATGTCTAGCCCACCTTCCCCGGGAGGCTTCTGGCCTTTCAAAGGGAGTCAAGCCTCCAGAGCTGAGAGAAAAGGGTATCTGGGCATGGGGGTCTTCCTCCCTCCAGAGCTGTGCCCCCCACCCATACCTGGGTGATGTCAGCCCTGAGCACAGGGGATCCCTGGGAGCAGGGCTGTTGGGGGATCAAGCCCCCATCCCTGCAGAACCAACACCATTGCAGCGGGGCTTGGCAGGAGAGGAACCAGGGTATGTGGAGGGAGTGAGGGGAGAGCACGGGCCACCGGGGCCGCCAGGGGACTGGCAGGAACAGCCCCAGGAGAGTGGGGGACTGGGGTGGCAAGCCCATGTGCACCTGCTCACCCGACATGAGCCACATCTCTGCTGTGTGTACTTATTTTAGGGACCATTTGGTGTCCTTGCTTCTCTGCCCAGAAAGGCAGACCAGGACCCTTGTGACCTGGACAGCTCACTGGGGTGACAAGGCCAGCGCAGCTCTGGGCAGGCTGGAGCTGGGTGGGGAGGTCCTGGCAGGGAAGGGCACAAGGCAGAGCACCAGGCCCACTACTGGTCTCTGGGCCAGGGTGTCCCAGGGCTGCCCGCACACGATGGTGGTGTTCTTGACTGGCCGGTTGCAGCGGCTCAGCTCCCTCAAAGGAACCCAGGGCCTCCCCCTCCCTGGCAGGGGTTGGGGGAGAGTCTTGGGGAAAGCTCCGGGCTCAGCGGCAGCCCAACCAGGAAGCACGAGGGATCCACGCATCTCCGCGCTCCGTACCACTCCACTGCGCTCTCCGGCAATGACAGGGTGCTCTGACGTACCAGCGAATATCCTTATTTCCTTGTTTATTTCAAGGTTTATGGGATTGTCCTGCACGCTCAGAACAGGGATTATCATTCCCCACCCCACAGGCGGGTACACACTCCAGGGGCTGCTGTGGGCCTGACAAAGTGGGGGACAGCCAGGCATCCTGACTCTCAGAGTGGCCCCAGGAAAGGGCTCCGTGGCCCTGTGGGATCGTAGACCCACACGCAGGGGAAAAGCACGGAAGGTCAGGGATGGGCAGGGGGAGAACCGTGCGCAGGAAGGAGGAGATTGGACAGACTGGAGTATAGGGTTGGTAGGTTGGGTCCTGATGGTTCCTGCCAGAATCAGGGTGAAACCTGGGTCAGTTAGTTGGGATCGCCAATGAGCTCAAGGTCAGCCTTGAGGCCAGGAGGGGAACAAAGCCTAGATTAAGCTAGATTAACAGCAGGAGCTGAGGCTGGGGCATGCAGCGCAGGTCCCCAGCCGGTCCGTGTTAGGACAAGGCACGAACCCGGGGCTCCCTTGCATTCACAGCCTGGGAATTCACAGTCGGGAAGCTGAAGGTGGGGCTGACACTGACTCGGGCTGGGCCTCTTGCTGCAAGAATTTGTTCGATCTGAGTGGGGGACTTGAGTTTGGACGGACGATGGTTCCGTTTAGGACATGAGTTGCTGTTCTATAGGCAGGGTGATGTGTGGGGATCCAAAGTGAGGTTTTATTTATGAGACAGAAAGACTTCAGTGTCTACCTGCTAAGTCCCAGACTGGCTAGAATGTTCACCCCTTTGCTCTAGAGGAACACCAGTGTCCTCTCATCATAGCTCAGTGAGTGAACAGAGGTCCCAGGGCTGGGGAGAGAGTTCCACGTATACACGAGCCCACCTAAAGCAACCTAATCCCCTAAATCGTAACCCCAGGAGTTCTGCTTCACAGCCTAAGCCTGCCCCCAGTGCAGCTCCCCGGGTGACGGGCTGTGGGGTGCCAGAGCTCTCAGCAGTGAGTGGGGCGCAGACCCCATATTGAACCAGAAGACAGGGTCCGCCAGCGGCAGTGTTACTGGCTCAGATGAGGCTGGTTTTAGAGACTTGGGGATGCATGTTGGGAGAGACTGAGGGCCTAGATGCTTCTAGAAGAACAGCCACTTTTGAAGGCTCCACACAGGAGCCCCTCAAAGCCTAAAAAGGCAAAGCACAATGATGAGTGCTGTGAAGTGTGTAAACCTGGCGATTCACAGACCTGTACCCCTGGGGATAAAAATATATGTTTATAAAAAATAAAATTAAAAAAAAAAAAAAAAAAAGGAAAAAAAAAAAAAAAAGGCAAAGCACATTGTTGTTCTCCTTTGACCCACTGAGGGCTAATTGCCACCTCCTTACAGTTTGGGGCCCATAAATGAGGCTGCCAGCCTTCCTGCCTTGTGCCCTGAGCCCTGCAGGGTTTTGGGGGGAGGTGGCGGAGGGTGGGCCCTGGGGAATCAGCTTGGTTTTCACAGCACAGACCTGGCCCCCAGCCCGAGTGTCGCTCTGGGCTCCTCCTCAGCAGAGGAGGAGAGGCCACTCGTGGGAGCCCCCGACCCCAACTCCTCCTTCTCCCTTTCCCCCACGCAGCCTCCACCCCAAACATCCCATGTCCCCACCCACTTTCTCTGCAGGTCTCAGAAAGTTCTGGCCACATCCAGGGGACTGTGGCGGTCTGTCTGCGCCCCACGGGGACAGAAGGTGATTGGGAGAGCAGGGGCTCGTGAAGGGGCAGAGGTATCCAGGTGGCTCATCAGAGGCTCTGAGAGACAGAGGCGGCAGAGGCCCAGGCTGCCATTCGGGATTTCGGGATGGAGCACCACATTTCCTAAGAAATCCGTCGTTCACCGGGGGAGATGGCCCTTCCTCTGTACAGGCCACCCAGTGTGGGTTGTATTTCCTTGTTTTCTAAGACAGAGGCAGAATCTCAAGACAGAGACATAGAAAGGAGTGAACAGAGACACCGAGAAGAAGGGAAGAGGCAGACCCAGGAGCCAGAGGAGCCCGAGGCTGTCTCTGAGCCGAGGGGCAGTGCAGCCCCACGATGTCTTGGGGAAGGAAGGACAGCAGAGGCCGCAGCCGACCTCCTCTTCCTCTGAAGCCCCGCACGGCAGTCACACGCAGCCTGCTGGGCCCGGCCTCCAGCCTTGCCGCCGGGACCGCAGGCTCAAGCTCGAGCTCCCACCCCCCCTTCCAGGGCCCTGGGTCTGCAGTCTGCCCCCCAAGAAGCTACACACACACACTCTCAAATGCACACGCTCACAGCAGACTCCTCACCCCCTCTCTCAGGACCCTGTGTAGACCCAGGCTCACCCCTACCCCACCCAGGGCGCGGGCAGCAGACCCGGGAGGGGCCCCTGGAGGACAGGGTCCAGGAGCAGCCGTCTGAATGGCCACGGGAGGGACACCAGCACGCGGGGTCAGAGCGCGCAGACCTGCTTCCGAGTTCAGGGTCACAGAGAAAAAAAGAGCCCCGCGGCTGATCACCCTTTCCAGCTGTTCTCAGCAACGGCTGCCGCGGGGCGGGCGACCAGGTGAGGCCATGGTGGGGGGGACGAGAAGAGTGGGTTGGGGGGCACCGTAGGCATGGCGGGAGACTGCCGAGTTTGGACGAGGAAGGGGTGGTCAGTGATGGACAAAGGCCGACATGCATGTGTGGGCTCAGTTTCAGGAACCGGGTTGGGGCCAAGGGGCTGAGCATCCCCGGCTGAACTGGTTTAGAAGGAGTGTGGGGATTCCTGGGGACAAACCCAGAGATCGGAGCGGCTCTGGAGAACCGAGCTGTGCTCCCCTCATAGAGGGCAGCCTTATCCTGCGGGACCCTCATGCATCCCACAAACGGCTGGGCCCCGGGGAGGCGGCCAGCAGAACAACCCCCCCCCCCGTCCTCCTGGAGCCCCATCTTCGGGGGAGATCAGCAAGGGAAGAGGTGCCCCCTCGCTCACGGGGTCGCGAGCCATGGCACTAGGCGGGCAGCCCCCTGACCTGGTGGGAGGGGCGTACAAACAGCTCTGGAGGACCACCCGTGATGCCCCCGGAAGCACAGAGAGTGGCCGGAGGAGTGTGTCAGCCCTCAGGAAATAAACCAGGAAGGTGTCCAACCACCGGAGAAGAGGATGAGGCTGGGAGAGTCAGCTGATGCTGGCTTTCACACTGAGGGGGAAGATCTTTGAGACCTGGACCGCTGGGGAGCTGCTCCCCACTCCAGCAGGGCGATCACTGGGATTGGAGCCGGGCCTGCAGGACGGACCAGTGACTCAGACTGGTCGTCCCAGACGCCTGCACACATCTGTCTGTGGGGAGACCTTGGGCTGGGTGACTCCACACAACCAGTGGAACTCTGACTTTGAATTTATAGAAATAAAATTTGCTTCTGATTGTGCCATGTGGATCCCCCAACACATACTGCAGAGCAGCACAGTGGTCCTCCTCGGTGCCCATAGCGGCCCCTGGCAGTGGCCCTGGCAGTGGCCGATGTGTGGAAACTGGCAGGGGCAGATCCAGGCCCGGTGTGGGTGGGCTTCATGCTGCCCCACGGAGCCGCCCGGCCAGCCCTCCCTGGGCTCTCCTTGTGTTTGTTTGTTTCCTGTTGCCCAGGCACTGGGAGAGGGGAGGGGAGGCGGTGCCGTGGGGTGGGGCTCAGGGGCAGCACAGCCCTGCCAGCCTGGCCGGGACAGCGGAAGTGTTCACTGTCAGGAGGGCTAAATGCCCAGCTTCTTCCCTCCCCCGCTTCCTCCTTCCAACAACTGCCCCCACCCCACAAAACGCTTAGAAGAGTTCTGTGTTTCCAGAATTTCAAACACGTGCCCACACGGAGCTGGACAACACAGGACCCAGGGTACGAAGTACCTGAAGGGGTGTGGTGTGTAAAAAGGGCCCCGCCGGCAGGTGGGTGCACAGGCAGACATTCTGAGCATCAGGGCTGGTCTGAGAGAGCTTGGGTTGCCTTATGAGGTCATGAGCATCCTGTCTCTCAGGGTATGCAAGTTCAAACTGCCCAGCTGTTTGATTAGAGGTTACAAAGGAGATTCAAGCACCAGAGGGTGTTGTGGGTCCCTTCCAGACTTCAAATTCTCTGATTTGGGGCTTGCCCCACTAGCCTGGGGACGGTCTCTCCCCAGGAGCCATACAGAAACGCTCATTAGCTCTGGCCGCTTCCTCGCAATCTCCACTCTCACCCACCCCCTTGACTCCTCTTCCCAGGAGCCTCCTGAGAAAGCCACCCAAACCCTCAACCCTATTCCTATCCCAGCATCAAAGCCATCAATGGGCACCGAGATGGCGACCACACCTCTCCCAAGAGGACACAAGGGGGAAAGGAAGACCTTGAGCCAGGGAGGCTACGAGAGAGGGAAGGTCTAACCATGTACAGCCTGGCAGAGGGAGGGGACGCTGGTTTTCTGTGATGTTGCAAATGAGCTTCTTCCGGGGGAACTTGGGTACTTTGTGGGGATACCTCCCAGAGTGTGGGGGAGGGGCAGGTCACCTTGGCAACAGCCGAGGATGCAGGGGGAGACATCCTCCCACCCAGCTGTCTCCCAGGCTCCCCCTCTGCAGAAGGAGCTGTCAGCCTGGATGAAAAGGGAGACCAGTGAGGAGCTCCATGGCCTCCGCCCCCAGACTTTTTGTCTGAGACTCCCGCGTCTCCCCTCTACTGTCACCTAGACGGCTGCCACCCTTTCTCACCCCAAAAGCCCCGTGTGGCTTTGAACTCTCTGAGCCCCTTTCATCCGAGCCTAATCAAAGTGCTTTTACGGAGACCAATTAATGCCCGGCTGTGACCCCAGTCCCAGATGGGATGCTGAGGACATCCCAGCACCCCACTGAGTCAGGGGCAGCCTGGCTTGGCCACCAGGGAAGGCTGCTGAGTCACACTCAACCGGAGCAGCTTCTCCGGCAGGTGCAAAGGTTGGAGACTGCGCCCAAGCCACAGCATGACGCAGGCAACAGGCACACAGGGGCAGGTAGGGGCACCGGGCCCGCCAGCAGCCGGGGTCACATGCGCGGGAGGCAGCTGCCTGGAGACCTGACCCAGGGCTCCGAGGTGGAGCCCCACCACTGGATTTGCCAGACGACGCCAATCAGCCCGGTCTGACACTACCAGGACCAGAAGACCCAAGGAGCCGGGGACAGGCAGCTGGGGAGCCCCTTGGGTACCCATACAACTAAGTCAGTAGCTTGGGCATGCTTTGTTCTTCCCCACAAATTTCTAACATCTTTACATCAACCAACACAGCGCACCAAACAGCACTTCCTGATTCCCCCAGCACGGCTCTCCCCTTTGCAGCTTCCCAGACACCCCTGAGCTGTTTCCGTGGTTCAATGGGTTCCGACACTTCCACCCCAGAGCAGGGGGAAAAAAAAAACAAAGCCCTCCCTAGGAGAAAACACCGTCCACCCAAAGCCCCAATCTCTAGCAGCAGGACTTAGGCTGGTTGTTCCTGAGCTTGGGGCCCACGAAGTCCTCCAGGAATCCCATGTGTCTCTCCGCTTTGCCCCGGAGTGTCCCACCCCCTCTCTGTCAACGGGGCTCTGCCACCGCCCTCCTGCAGCCTGACCCCACTGGCCCCACTAACACGGACCTCTTTCCTGTCATTATCCCCGCTGCGGTCCCAGCAAGGGGGCGGGAGGGTGTTTATAAAAGATGCAGCCCTGAAGCCGCCTGCTTGCCTCAGATGCCAGCAGCCTGCCTGGCACTCAGGAATGTCCCATTTCCAGGAATTGGGTTCCTGTGGATGACTCAAGCCTGTCCTGAAGCCTGCGGGAGCCAGCACAGGGCTGTTGAGGAATCCCAAGGGGAGCTACCAAACCTCCCTTCCGCATCACAGGCCGACTCCAAGAATTCCCAGAGGGGGTGACTCTGAGGGCAGAACTGGGAGATTCTCCCCCAAACTGTCCTCCCCTGCTCCGAGGCAGCTGTGTCCCGCCCCCACCCCCGGCCCCTCAGCCTCTGAAGCCAGGCTTTTACTCAGAACTACAGCCGCGAGCCCCTCCCCTATCCAGGCCATGTCAGGATGGTCTCAGTTTTAGGCTGTGGGTTCCGCCAGGCCCCATACACCTGCGGCTTCACGGGGACCCGTTCTGCCAAAATGCAAGCCTGGCTTTAAGCCTGTGAACGTCGCCAGTTTCTCTCCACATGGCCTCACAAGTTAGTGATGGGCCTGGAACGCCTTTGTTCTTGACCCTCACTCTGGGGACGCCCATTCCTCCCGGCCCTGAGACGGGTGACTCAGGGAGGGATCTGGGCAAACTCCAGGAACCCAAGGCCTTTTCTGGCTGTCCTGGCAGGAGGGTCCCCTGGAACAGGGTAGGGGTCATGGCTCGGTCCCTGCAGGTATGAACCGCGAGAGGCTTTACCCACGGAGGCTGAGCCAGCCAGCCAGCCACAGGAGATGCCAGGACCCTCAGCGGTGCTGTTTGAGATCAGGGGCTCCCTCCCATCCTGGGGGAGTACCACATCCTTCCAAAGCCTCTGGGAGGAAGGGAGCAGCTTCCCCAGGTAGGACGGGCGTCCTTGGGGACGCTGAGCAGGAGGGTAAGCACCGCCTTCCCCAGCAGCTAGCCTGGTCGGGGCGGGGCAGGTGGACAGGGCCTGGAGAGGCTTCTCTGAGGAGGAGGAAGTCCAGGGAGCAGCTTGCCCGCCCACTCTCCCTGGGTCCTATGAAAAGAGGACTCTTGCTCGAGGCCCTTATAACCTGGCGTTGTAAACACTCAGGACGCGCCCAGCTGCTGCTCTCTGCCTCCTCTGTGCGGGCCCCATCGAGGGAGGCAAGACTGGGCTCTGGATTGGAGGAACAGAGCACTGAGGGGGCAGGGTGGCCCTGAGGGCTGGGAGCTGGGAGGCAAGCCCTTCCCCACGCCCCAGGCACACAAAACAGAAAAATGGCTCTATATCCGGACCACAGCTCTGCAGCCTCCAAGGGGCCTAGGAATCAGGCTGCTTCCAAAGGAGCCGAGACTATTCTAAAGGCACATGACATATGGTGGACCCAGGTCTGCTGCACTGGGGGCCCAGCGTGCACCCCACGAAGGAGACACCCAGGCAGCATTTGAGTGAGGGACCGAATGACTGAGAGGGTTTGGGGGAAACAGGGGGCAGGCTAACAAGGGCAACAACGGCCGTGGGGAGCCCCACCCATCAGAGTAAGGCGGAGCGAGAAGACCCCGGCCGGCCCCTCGAGTGAGGGGGCAGCACGGTCTGGGTGAGGAGTGGGGCCCTGGGTGTGCCTGAGGGGACAGCAGGTGTCTGTGGGACTCTGGCGGGGAGGGTAGAGCCAGAGGGTAAGCCCCAAGTGCACGCGCACCCCCCCACAGGTGTGGTCTGAGTTACAGGTGCCCCATAGAGCTCTGCATCTGAAGCCCTGCTCCCTCCTGACCCTGCCCCTCCCTGAGAGAGCAGTCCCAGCCCCCCGCCCCAAAATACCTCTGAACCGGGCATGGAACAGAGCCAGAGCAAGGCTGTGCTGAAGATGGACATAAAGGCAATGTCCCCAGGGTCCCAAAAAGTCAGAGGACACAGGGCAAAGGGCCTGTGAGGCTAGGAGGGACCACCAGCAGAGAGCACACTTCGGTCCCCCACCCCAGAGCATCACACCACCCACGACCCCCACACTCCCACGGCCCACTGGGCTCTCAGTGCAGGACCCCCCACCCCCGGCAGCCACAGCCCCCCAAGAAAGCTGGGCTGTGGCTTAATCAAGTAGAATAAGTTTAATCTGTAACTATAAAATGTCTAGGTTAGTGGCAGTTATGGACGCCCAGAGGCTGGGCAAAGCCTGTTCCCGTGGGCATCCCCGGGGACTCCGAGGCTCCCCTAGTTCACAGAGGTGGCTGGCAGGATGTTTGCTTTGCGCTCCGCTTCGATGCAATACTTCTCAGGGAGACCAGTGGCTCTGCAGGGGGACACAGGGCAGGTGTGACAGGGCCACAGGAAGCAGGCCCTGTGGGGGTTTACAGAACCTGGGGGACTGCCCCCACCCCTGTTCCCACAATCCACCCCCCAAACACATTCCCCCCAAGGCTCCAGCCCCCCGCCTCGGAGTTCCCAGAAAGCCAGGCAGCCCCCGTCCCAGAGCGTTCAGTCGCAGCCCCTTTCAGGAGAAAGGGCCCTCCCAGAGCACCTGTCACCCCCTCGGTCCCCTGACTCCCACATGCCCTGCCCTGGGGTGGAGGGGGAGACAGGGAGAGGCAGTGGGCAGCGCGAACTGCAGCGCACCTCAGCTCCTCGATCTTCTTCTTCTTGATGTCATCGATGCGCTCACGCCGCTTCTGGGCCTCCTCTTTGAGGCGCCGGCCCTCCTCGAAAGTGGCAATGCGGTCCTGCACCTGCTTCTGCTGGTTCTCGCGCACCTGGCGCCTGAGCTCGTTGGCATGCCGCAAGCGCCCCGTGGCCTTTTTCTCCTCCTCTAGACGCTCCTTCTCGATCTGCTCTCTCTGAGCCCTGGAGGAGGGACAAGGGTTGCCGAATGGACTAGGCTGAGCTGGCCCAGTGAGGAGAGGCACTGAGGAAGCCTTCCGGAAGGGCTTCTACAGGGGACGTGCTTCAGAGCCCTGCCCACTCCCACCCTCTTCTGTGGCTCAGACATCAGCCTCCAAGCTGCCTCTGGGCATGCGGCCCCTCTACTCTGCCAGGCCTGGCGCTGTGGGCACAGGACTCTATGTCCATGCTTAGAAGGGCCTCACATTGCTTTACTGCTCTTCCATCACTGTTTTGAAATTCATAATACTTATTGAACAAGGGACCCCCCAGGCCCTGCAAATTACGTATCTGGCCTGTACTCAGGGGCTCACCCATCAGAAACTATGTTTCCAGCTCTTCTCTTTTGCAACAATGCACAGCTCCTCTCTAGCTGGTAGGTTCTTTCTCAGTCTCCCTTCCTCCCTTCCCACGAATAATAGCAATGACATTAACAAAACTGCAAAGGGGATGCTCAGAAGTGCTGGAAGGAGGAAGGAGCTGCCCCAGGACCTCTCAGTGCTCCTGCTCCTCCAGCTCTCCAGATTCTTTAGAGGAAGCTCCCCACAAGGGGGTTTTCACGTGCCCCGATACCCTGGAGAAAGCAGCCGATGTGGGCCAGACAGGTTCCAAAAAACCTCGAATGAAATGTATTCATATCTCAGGGGAAACGCTGAGCTCAGCTGCCCAGGACCACCTCCCAGTGCTGCACCTGCCACAGAGACCCCCCAGTCCGCCAGGAGACACCTGCCGACTTCCTCACTCCTCTCTGTTTAGACTCCAAACCACAACCACTCAGACACCCCCGTGATAACAGGAAGCCCCACCTCTTGGCCTTGCCCTTGTATTTTCCTATATAGAGAATAGTGTTATTTCACGACAGCAAAACAGGCTGGAAATGGAAGCCCATATGTCACACTAGGGAGCCCCTGGGCTGGCAGGCAGTTAGAAATCTGAATGGGGAAAAGTCTGGTCACTTCATGGGATTAGGGCCATGACCTTGGAGCCTGCTGCCTTACAGGGACCCGGGAGCTTCCAAAACCTGCAGCTGTCTGGGACTCACCCCAAACCAGTTACATCAGAATCTGTAGGGTTGGAGCCCAGGACTCAGGGCTCTATGGGAGCTCCTGGACATCTCTAAGAGCCACCGGGTAGGGTGGGTCAGCTATCGCTGCTTAGTCAGTGGGCTGCCTGGCAAAGGCATCCCTCTCCCCAGAAGCAGGAAGCCCCTAGAGAGGCCATCTACAAGGTCATGTTTTTGACATAGGAAAACCTGGATTGCTGGCTATGGCAGAGATGCTCGGAGTGCTTGAAGACAGTTGCGCTGGCGGTCACATGGCCCCAGAGACACCAGGTCTAGACGCTCACCTAGAAGATCAGGTGAAGCGGAATGTCTCCAAAGGCTGGTCTCACTTTACTAACTGGCTAGTGCATATGCTTTGAGCAAACAAAGTGAAGAAGGGACAAATGGGTCAGTGACAAAAGTAGGACCTTTAATTCCTTTTCATTAATACTTGTTACTCCCTGCTAAAGGCAACACGGGTGTCCAAGAGCATAGAGGTCAGTGATGGCGGACATCTGAAAGGCAGTCTGGAGCCCAGGGGCGGAATCTGTGGGGCCATCAAGGAAGCTGCCTCCTTCAGCAGGCTTCCAGAGACCATGGCATGACCCTTGAGGGCCTGGTACCAACCAGGGAAGCTACAGAGTCAAAGGGCGCCGCAGCTAGTGGGCGCAGGCTAGGGGCCCTAGTAAAAGACCAGGAACTTGGCTCTGGCAAGGATGGAGATTCCTACAGGTTGGCTCTGCCTCTAGCTGGGGGCCCAGGACGGGGCGGGGGGGGGGCTGAGGGGGCCCAGAGCCGGCCTGGCATGCAAGTACCTGGGACAAGGCCAAGGCCTGAGAGCGGGTAGGCCAGAAAGCCAAGCTGCACCATCGCGTCTCTGCTCACCTGAACAGAATTTCTTTAAGTTTGTATCTACACACTCCCCCTTCCGATTTTGTTTGTTTCCTTTGAAAGTTTCTGATCTTACAGATTTTGAGCCAGAGCAAGAAAGGAGTCATTCCCAGTAAGGCCAGAACAGAGCCAGGGGAGCACCCAGGGGCCGGGTCTGGTGGTGGCAGATCTGACGGATGGACGCTAGAGCAGCTGTGGCTGCTGGCAGCTCTGGGGGTGGACGCGGGGCGGGGAGAGCGACCGGTGTGAGCACTTCACCTCCACTTATGTAAGGGTGGGGGTTATCGCTGAGCCAAAAGAGAACAAAAATAAAAGGATGAGGAGTAGGCAAGCTGGGCCAGATGGATAAATATAGGTGAGGTCTCTCCAAATAGGAGTCTTCTGCCTCTTCCCACATGACTGGGCAAGGACAGCCTTTTGCTCACCTCCAATACCTCCCAGACAATCCAGCACGGAGTCTTGAATTTATGTGCTTAATACATATTTATCAAATGAATGGCAAAGACCCCAGCCCCCACACCAGGCTCTTCTCCAGTGACCCAGACCCTTGGTGTTGGAACGTCTCTCTGTCTCTCCTCAACCTCCCTGCTGCAGCTTCATCCCTAACTTGCAGGGGGACGTGGAAGCAGGGTAGGGCAGAGGGACAAGGTACATACTTTTACTCACACCAGTAATACCCAGTTCCTTAGACATGTCCAGGTGCTGTTTTCCAAATCTCTGATCAGAAAATTCTGGGCTTTCAATTTTCGTCTTTGCACATTTCAGCTGGTCATCTCGTTGGCATGACTCCACCACCCCAGGCGAGATGGACACACATCCATCTGCGGACATGCCAGGAAGGTCCTCTCCGCCCGGTAGAGGCCATCCCTGCCACAATACAAGGAAAGGAAGCCAAGGTGCCCAGCCCCACCTACCGAAGAATCCTCTCGAACTCATCCCGGTCCCGTTGCACCTGAACGGCCAGACTGTGCTCCTTGAAAGCCACCTGCTCCAGCCGGCTGCTACGTAGTTTGGCCTCTGTCTCCATCTTTTTCTGTGCATTTTCCTTTTCCTTTCTGCGCCACTCCCTGTCTGCAACCTCCTGGTTGCGCTTGGCCCGCAGGGCGTCCTGGGAAAGGGGAAGGTGGGGAGACCTGCGAGGGTGCAAACTGACCTCGGTACCAACGGGGCACCTTAGGAAGACGCCAACTGCAGGATCTGACACAGCCTCCTTTGAGGAGGGCTGTGAATTTCCCTGGCAACAAGGTACAGTACAGAGCAAGGTAAGAGTACAAGGTAGAGTGCAGAGCAAGGTGGAGTACAAGGTAGAGTACAGAGCAAGGTGGAGTACAAGATAGAGTACAGAGCAAGGTGGAGTACAAGGTAGAGTGCAGAGCAAGGTGGGGTACAAGGTAGAGTGCAGAGCAAGGTGGGGTACAAGGTAGAGTACAGAGCAAGGTGGGGTACAAGGTAGAGTACAGAGCAAGGTGGAGTACAAGGTAGAGTACAGAGCAAGGTGGAGTACAAGGTAGAGTACAGAGCAAGGGAGTACAAGATAGAGTACAGAGCAAGGTGGAGTACAAGATAGAGTACAGAGCAAGGTGGGGTACAAGGTAGAGTGCAGAGCAAGGTGGGGTACAAGGTAGAGTACAGAGCAAGGTGGAGTACAAGGTAGAGTACAGAGCAAGGTGGAGTACAAGGTAGAGTACAGAGCAAGGGGAGAGCACAGAGCAAGGGAGAGTACAAGGGAGAGTACAGAGCAAGGTGGAGTGCAAGGTAGAGCACATGGACTCTTGTAGAACTTTCTGGTTGATAGATACCCTGAGGTGTCTTGGCTTGTCCTCTCCCACCACTGATCCCAGTTCTTTTCCTATATCTCCAACACTTCCAGGCAATCCTGCAGTCACCTCTCATTTTAAAAACTGCTAATGATGGAGACACCACAGTTCCTCTGGTGACACTTTCCAGTGAGAGTTAAGGTCGAAAGTTCTTTACATAGCAGCCAAAAGCTTTCTCTTGAACCTTCAGCACATAACACCCTGCCTGCCCTGTTCTCGCTGCGCCAGGCACTGGGGTAGCCCACCCCTTTGCCCTCAGATGACTCAAGTCTAGGTAACCTGCACCCCCTCGTCCACATCTCTGTCCTTCAGGTCGGTTTTGCAGGCTGTCAAGGGAATAGTTAAGGGGTTGCAGAGGCCCAAGGAAGCTGAGACTAAGAAGGTACCTGCTCTGCCTGGTAATCCTGGGCCTTCTCCTGCATGGCCCTCAGACGGGTGATCTCCTTCTCTTTCTCCCTCCGTATTCTCTCCTGCTCAGCCTCAAACTCTGCTTCTCGAGCCTGCCAGGAAGAAAAGGTCTTGTAGATCGGCTCCCCTTGCCCCAGCCTTGCAGAGAAACATAGTTCCTGCCACAGTCTGTCCAGTGTCTCCCATATCACTCCCTGACTCTTTTTAAGGTAGGGCAAAATAACTAGCAATGCATGAACAAGGTCAATTAGCATTGCAAAATGCTTCATTGTTTACAAAATGCTTCCCCCTATATGATCCCAGAGGGCCCCTACAACATTTTGTGGGACAGGTTTGATAGATGAGGAAACTGACATTCATATAGATCAAGGGTCCTGCCCAAGATCCCGTAACTAGTCAACTACCAAAAAGGATTTGAACACAGGTATCCTGAGCCCAGCCTTCATGTCCCTTCCACTGCATTGCAGACAATGTCTAAGTTTCAAGGCCACTGGGTCACGTTTCTACAAGTAACAACTGTGGCAGCCTGCCTGTCTTATAAAGTGCAGCAGGTGGAAGTTATTTCATTAGTCCCTGGGCGAATGGCCAACCATGCTTTGGGCAGTCCCACTGCGGTTAGCAGATATGAAAGGAGTGAACCATCAAAGTTAGCTCCCTTTGCCGCTTCTCTGAAAGAACAGACATACCCCTAAAATCTTCCCAAACCCAGCCTTCCAACCACCATCCTTTGGTAGTCATAAGACGAATGGCTTGAGCTGAGTGGAAATGTGATCCTCCCCTAAACAATGTTCCATAACCATCATTCTACCTGCCCAGACTCCAGGCAGCCCAGCGAGTTGCCTGATTGTGAGCTGTGTGTCAAAGCTGGTCTCTGTTCCACCTACCCCGAAGACGGCAGGGCACGGAACTCTGGAGGTTTCCACAACCAATCTCTGCCCCTAGCTTTAAAGGGGCAGCCCCGGCTACAAGAACAGAGACCACTGTGAGGTCAGGGATGGACTTGTGATATACTTGGTACTTATGGCGGGCTGTGGGCATGCCCAAGTGCCCAACCCTTTGGCAGTGGTTGGCCTGTGCAGTGGCTCCTCCCACCGATGTCCTTTCCACATATGAAGACAGGCCCTATTCTCAGAAATCTATGGTGATTCCTCCTCATTCCATGCTTCCAGCTCTGCTCAAGGTTCAAGGTATCCCCCAACAATTGCTCTCAGCAACCTGCCTCCTCACCACCTCATCTCTGACCATGACCATCATCAAGTCTGCTGCAGCCAGCCAACCTGTTCACCAGCTCCTGCACTTGACTGGCTCATCACACCACCTTCACCCATTCAGGAAACGGTGGCTGAGCTCTGCCCAAAGTCCTCACCATTATCCAGCCCAGGCTCATACTGGACACACAGGGAAGCATATAGGATATTTTGAATCACTCAGTGACAGGATTTACAAGGGGTTGTAATGGCTCAGCGAGACCCACAGGGAAAGCACTTAGCACAGAGCCCATGCACAGCCTTCACCTTCACTGAATGGCAGTTGGGTGATCATTCTTAGGCACCAGCCACCCTTGTCCCGTCTTGTGTTGTCTTGTGTTCTTGCTCTGCTGCCTGCACATCCCAGCATCCGATACGAAGCCAAAGCCCAAACATACACTTTGTTGAGCTTCATTTTCTGAGGTTTGCGTTCGGAGCATATGGCCATATCAAACACGCCTTTTTGGAGCGCACCCGTCTCCCTGCCTGTCACCCCTACCGGAGAAAAGTATGATGTGCTCTCTGTCACCATGGAGCCTCAAAACTAGCAGGGGAGGCAGGACCAACACATGAAGAACTGAATAACATTCCTGCCACGTTCAGTCCTTCTCTTTCTATGTAACCCCATACTCACTCCATCTAAACCGGGCTTAGAAGCTTTTCTCGCCCTCCACTCCTCACTGCCCCCAGTCACTCCGTTACTCAGCCTGGCCCCTGAGTCAGAGCAGCATCTCCGGGTCCCTGTGAGCGGCGTCGCTCTCTGTCCCGCAGTGCATTTGTGCTTAGAACTCCCACAGCCGCGGTGGGAGAAGCTCTCCTCTCAAAGTCTAGCCCCCAGTACAGGATGCCCAATAGCAGAATTTTCACAAGAAATGTATAGGGCGGGTGACCTCTGATTACTAGGGATGTAATTATGCTTTCCATGAGGAATCCACAAAACTTTACTTTCCCTAATAGTTTTCATCTTCTCCCCGGCCTGTAACTGACCCTCATTCAATTTCTAATCAAAGGTGTTAACGAGGATATAATGCCCTAATTTGGGTGTCCCTTCTAGCCTAATGAACCACTGGCCAAAAGGAAGAGAAGAAGGAGCCAGGCCCTTGAACGAAGGACACGAATTCTGGAACAGACACATGGCTTTCTGTCGTGAGTTCCCTAGATCTCAGCCGGCCACTCCCCATGGCCAGAAGTCCCAGGCATCAGAAACCTACCATCTTCTTCTTGGTGAACTCCATCACCATCTGGTCCGCCAGCTTCTCCTGAGCCAGTAGCTCTGCCTTCTGTTTCTGGTTTTCATCATTAATGCGCTTAATCTCAGCTTGCATCTTTAGTTTTTGCTGGTGCCTCCGTTCCATGTCCTGGCATCAGAAGGAAGAGAGCCTCCAAGTAGAAGGGGACAAGACCCAGAGACCCTGGCCCATGAGGACAGAAACTCAAGGGCAGGGGCACATCTGCAAGCCAGCTGCTGCCACTAGCCTCTGGTAAAGCAGCTCTCTCAAGCGTCATCAATGACCCTCGCAGCCAAATGGCCTCTTCTCGGTCTGTACCCACCTGGCTTGGTGGCAACGGGCTCAGATGATTTCTACACACTCGCAGGGAAGTGGAGGCTCTTAAAATTCTCCCCAGTGTCTCCCACATGTCATGCGAAGTTCTACCCATTGTTCCTGGTCTTTTCTCCTGCCTTCAGTTTCCCTCTCGTCGTCAAACCCTGGCTTCTGGTCTCTGTTCAATAGTGATGAGTGAAATAATGAAGTATTGCCCTAAATGAGTATTTTCTATTCACTGGGCACTTTACATAGCCTATCTCTGAAACCCAGATACAGCCCCAAGCCCTGAAAGGAAGAACCTGTTATTTTTCTCGTGCTGATGAAGACAATGAGGCCCCAAATTTACTTGTCCAGGGCCATCCAGCTAGCAAAATCCAGAGCCAGAATTTTGAAACCTGGTCTTTCTAAATTAAAGTTCCAATCTTCTCGGGAACGTTGCCCCAGCTTCCAGTTCTCTCTTCATTTCTGAATCCCCTCTGCACTTAAGACGGTGCCATACTTCCTGGGATTTGGTTAGGCACTGCCTTGTCGGTCCCCATTCCTTCCTGTGTGTTTATCCTGTCCCAGCCAGAGGATGGGGACCATGTCACACTCCCTGTCTTCCCTGGCAACATGCATAGCCCAATGAGAGGAAAACAATAAATAATAAACTAAAACAAGGAAATGGTTAACCAAAATGAGTGGCATGTGAGAAAAAGGGGAAAAAAACAGCAGACACAGAGAAAGACAATGAATGATGGAGGTCAGTGTACCAGCGTGACCTTGAGTGACAAGATCCCTTCTAAGGAAGGATCCTGAGCCTTTCAAAGCCCCCAGATGATCGGAAGAGCACATTCTCAGGCCCCAATGTAGAATTTTTGGCAGCTGGCCTACCGATAACCTCCCACCAATCTCCAACTCTCCTTCAAATTCTTCCACCCAGCAACTCCCCACACACACTGTTCCCAGCTCCCTCCATTCCTCAAAGGCTATGCCCCACCCTCTGCTTCCAGCTCCTCCTCAGGCCAGCTTCTACCCTGACTCATCGGGAGACAACTCGGCTGGCTCTCCCCAAGCTTGACTCACAGCCACGTCCTGGAGAGCCTTCTGCACCATATCTGCACGGTGCTGCCTGCCTCCCACCCGGCTGTTGGTGCGTGACTCATGGCAGCCAGCAATCCCTCACTCTCCCCGTGCCTACTTCTCACTCACCCCACCTTTCCCCACCTGGCCCAGTGACTCTCCACTCCTTTTCCCTCTTCTCCCTTTCTTCCTTTCCTTTCTCCCAGCTTCCCATCAGAGTCAGTCCTGCCGTTGGTACCCACGAATTATTTGATCCCACTGACCAGCACAACTGGGAAACCTGCCAAATGCTGATCTAGGACAAATATTCCATCATGTATTGACTTACTTCTTTGCCTATTTATTTACTTTCCATGTTGTTGTTTCTGTTGGTTCCACACCATCATCAAATCACTGGGAGATGACAACCCCATTGTCCATTAACGTGGGGGAAGAGGAGAAAAATTGAAGAATACATGTCCCACTAATCAAATGACACCATGAGGAAATAATCTGACAGATCAGAATGGAGGAAACTCTTCAAGCCAATTGGCCTGGGTGCCCAAAAATGAAGGAAGGAAGGAACGAGAGAATTATTCTAGGTCAAATCAGATGAAAGAGGTAGAGGTGAATGCAAGGCAGGGAACCTGAATGGATCCTGGCTGGAAAAAAAGAAAACTAAAAGTACATTTTTAGAACAATTGGGGAGATCTGAATGTGAATTAAGCATTAAATGATACTGGATTCCATTGGATTCCATTTTTGGAGGAGGGAATGAGACAGCAGTAATGGTAAGAGAACTGGTAAGAGAACATCTCTGTTCTTCAGAGATGAGGGCTGAAGCATTTAGTGGCAAAGTCTCAAGATGTCCGCAACTCACTGTCAAAGACTTTAACAGTAACAGAATACATAAATGCCCCGAAAAGGGACAAACAACGAAGGCAGATTCACCTTCATTTCATCATGAAATCTAGGTGAAGCGTGGACGGGTCTGATACAATTCTTTCAATGTGTCTGTGTGTATAAAAATTTTCAAAGGTAAAGAACTGAGGGGGACAGGGGCGCCTGGGTGGCTCAGTGGGTTAGGCCGCTGCCTTCGGCTCGGGTCATGATCTCGGGGTCCTGGGATCGAGTCCCGCATCGGGCTCTCTGCTCAGCAGGGAACCTGCTCCCCCCCCCCTCTATCTCTCTCTCTGCCTGCCTCTCCGTCTGCTTGTGATCTCTCTCTGTCAAATAAATAAATAAAATCTTTAAAAAAAAAAAAAAAAAAAAAGAACTGAGGGGGACAGAAAGAATGAACACCCCAAGCCTCGCCCGGCCCCCCACGTGCGAGGGGTCCCTGTATTGAAACAGACAGGAGCAGGCAAACAGAAGAGGATTTCTTCAAGTCTACTTGGTCTGAGCAGGCCTGTCATCATTTCTTTTGCAATGGATATGCCTGCTAATCTTATCTAGACTAGTGGGGGTGGAGGGGTTGGCTCCTTCACACAATTAACCACACTCAGATACTGTGTACTTGATATGAGGGAACAGCAGGGAGCCTGAGCCCAAGACAGGGAGGGCTAAGACATCTACAAAATGTATCACATCTCTAACCAGCTGCGGAAAGACCAGGAAACATCCCTATGTTTCCTGGTGCAATGCATAGAGCTGTGTATTTCCTTTCTGTGTCCATGCCCATGGACGCATTGGTCTCAGACCTCAATTCCCCGGGAGGCAGACAGTAGCTGTCCAAATCCCAGCTCGACCCCCAGTATGGTGCCACAGCCAGATGAACGTTCAACATGGCCATAAAAGCTGACATTAATGGTTTTGCAAAGTGAGTATGGGCCTGACAACAAATCCGTCCACCCCCTGACACCCCCAAATCCTGGAGAGCTTTGTCACTTTTGCTGGTAGAATCTGGCATTATCTGTCCAGCCCGTTACCCGTAGATCCTCCTCCTGGAGCTGTTCCATGTATCCCAGCATCTGCTCCTTCTCCTGCTCCCGCTGCTCCGCGAGCAGCGACCGCTCCTCCTGGTTCTTTTCCATCTGCTCCACGATGTGCCGTCTTCCTCTAGGGGTGAATAGTACCGCAGGGGCTTAGAAACCCACACCCACATTTCTCTGCTCCAACCTCCACCCAAATAACCAAGATGGGAGGTGTCGCAGGGACAATTGGACAAGCGCCTCCTACACATGAGCCCAGACCAAAGTCCTCAAGTGTTGAGTGTCGTGAGGGGCTGTCCTCTCCTCTCGCAAGCTGCCCATCTTGAGACTCCCCGCCTTTGTTTGTTTGCCCAAGAGGGCACCCCACATCAGCAACATACCTTCTGCCTTTCAGTGTGTCAAGAGCTTCTGAAATCCTACCACCTCCCAAACCCTCCCAGAGCAACTGTGGGGAGCTAGCTTCCTCTGCCAACGTCACAGACTTAGAAAGCCCAGGACCTCTCCTTCCTCCGGGGCTTCTGCTAGCACCTAGTGTGTCCTGTCTCCCACCCGCCTCCCACACCCACTTCGTTCACTATCACGTGCCACGGTTCTCCCACTGCGGGTGGACAGGGCTGGGTCTGAACAAGCCTCCCCACTCAGCGAGGCCCGTGCTCAACAGTAAAAGGCAGAGAGCCCAGAGTCTACAATCAGTGCTGCGGCCAGTGACTCCCTAGGTGTTGCTGGATGACAATAAACTTGGAAGCACCCAGACCCCATGATGTATGAGTAAAGGCTGGGAGAATGAGAGAAGACACAGGGTAGGGTAAGAATCAAGAGGAAGGACAATGGGGTGCCTGTTCAGGTGGAGCACTTGAATGGCTTCATGACTCCAGATGAAATATGCAGGAGGAATGAGTAAAAGAGTTACATGGCAGCAGGCTGGGGCTCAGTGTAAGGACCAGCTCAGATCATTAGAGTGGCCTAATGAGGCAGAGATTTTTCTTTAATTGGAGATGTTTATGCAGAAGATGAAGAGCCACTTAGCCATTAAATCCACATTTATAGGGAGCCTGCCACAGTCGAGCAGGTACCTACTGGAGGTACAGAGATGAATGGTTCAAGAGCACAGAATCAGAGCGAGCAGAGCCGGTCAGGGTGGTTCAAGGTCACGCTCGAGTTCTATGGTTGACGTTCTAGACCCGGGACCCTGTGGTTCTGTAATTTACCTGTTCTGGTAAATCTACTTGTCGTTTTGGTAAATAACTTACCTGCTCGGGTAAATTTACTTGTCCTTTTCTGCAAAAGGAAGGGGACTGAATGTATCCCTCTAATGTGTGTTAAGCACCTGCCACAGGCCAAACAGTGCGCTAGTTCCAGGAGCTACGGAAATGAACCAAGCCAGGAATGTTGTCCTCCGTGAGTACGCAGGCCTCCGGTGAGGGCCAGAGAGTCCCAGGGCAAGGAGCCATGTGCTGGGGTATAAATACGGTGTGGCGGGGCACAGGGAAGGGAGCCCCCAAGCCTGCCTGCTAGGGGGAGAGCGCTTTCCAGGGGAGGCAACAGCAAAGCCACATACTAAAAGAAGAGAAAGCATTTTCCAGAGGAAAAGGAAAGACAAGTGTACTAAAAGCGGAAGGAACGACCACAGCATAAACCGTGAGCAGTCCAGGTGTGCTGGGGGACAGCAGAGTGCAAAGGGGACGGCAGGGAAAGGCGGGGAGTGAGGCTGCACTGGGGCCAGGTTGTCATGCACCTGTTGTGATCTTAGGAACCAGCTTTAAGAAAGTCTGTGGTTCTATGAATCTCTTCATAAGGTTTTGAGATCATAATAGATGGTGGCAATGACTATTTCTCTTCTCTTCCCCCTTGACAAGGCTACCTGGACCTAAAGAAGCATGAAAATGACAGGGAGGGAGATGCCAAAACCACCCCTTTACCGGATTCTCTCCTCCCTCCTCTTCCGGTCCAGCTCCTCCTGCCTTTGAATGGATTTCTGCCTTTCCACCTCCATCATCTGGTCCAGTCGCCTTTCCTCTGCATCCAGCTCTCTTTGAATCAGCTGCTTCTCCAGGATCTGGGCATCCCGGATGGCGTGGCACTTGGCATTAAGGATGATCTGGGGGGGGGGGTGGAATGACACGGTGGCACCGGGTCTAGGCACGAAGATAAGGAGGGACGCATCGCGGGGTGAGGGAGCTGGAGGGGGGAAACGGGAGCAAGGTGCTACGGAGTGCGCTAGACACATGCGCAGCCATGCCCAAGCCCGTGAGAGCAAGAGCGTTCTTCTGCTCCCGTGCCCTGACTATAGCTCTGTGCTGGCACTTACTGGGCTCCTGCAAAGTGCTAGTCCGTGCAAGGAGAAGCCACGAGAGTACCTTTTGGGGCGTCAGGCCTTCGTATTTGGGGGGCCATGGACCACTTTTTGAGAGTATGAGGGAAGCAATGGGCTCTGTCCTCCTTAAGATTCACTTTATACATACACATAAAATTTCCATAAAACTACAGAGATTCAAGGTCCCCCTTAGGGACCCATGAACCCCAACATCTGCTCTACTTCTCAGGGAAACTAAAATCCTCATGCAGAGGCCAAGCCACTAGATTTTTAAGCTGGAAGAGCCTGACATGACACGTCAGGGGACAGCCATCCACGAGAACGAGAGAACAAGAGGAGGCATGAGGACAGATTGGCCTGGGAGAGAAGGTGTAGATGACGGGGTTGGGAGTCAGCGGGGTTCATTTGCTTGGGAAGTGAACCACATACAAATGAGTACCAAAATATCCACCCCAGCCTCTGGTCTTCTCGCTCTCCGCTAAAGGAAGGACTTCACTTAGTTTGGTTTCTCCTCTTCCTGAGGAGAAGCCCGTTTCCCAGGCCCCCCACATGCAGCCACGACTGAGCCCACGGGAGAGAAACAGAAGGCAGGTCCCCACTTGGCAAAGCTCAGTTCTCCCCACCAATCGCTCTGCTAAGTGGTCTGACCCATGAAGAAAATGGGGCCCAGGGCGGGTGAGTGACCTGCTGAAGGTCACACAGCTAGCACGCAGCAGGGCCAGTCCTCCCTCTCACGGCGGCAATAGTCCCCCTCCGCCAGCCTCCCCACCCGTCACCCCCTCCTTGCCCCAAGTCCATCCGGAGCCAGGCTGTCAGAGCCCAAGAGGAGGGAGGGGGAGTGGCCGCAAGTCCTTGGAGGAGGGAAGGACGGATGTCCCCACCTTGCTCATGTCCTTGAGCTCCTCCTCCTGCTCCATGCGCAGCACACTGGCTCTCTGCAGCAGGCTCTGGGCCCTCTCCTGGGCCACCTCCTCCAGGTCACTGAGCTTCTCGGTGTTTCTCCGTGCCATCTCCTTCTGCTTCATGACCTTCTTGCGCTTGGTCACCGCGTCCTACAGGAGACGGTCTGGATCAGCGGGGGATTGCCAGGGGCGCTGGCCCAGCTACCAGTGGGACCCCCCCCCCATGTGGCTTCGCCTGTCCTGCTAGCAGAACCCAGAAGTTTCCCAGCCTGGCTTCCTCCTCACCCCACCCCTGGCCCCCAGCTCTTCCCACACCTGGTGTCCACTCTACCACGTCTCTGGTCTCCACGAGGCACACACTCACACCTCCTTCCAGGGCCCCCAGACCACAGCTCCCCCCTCCCATCTGCAGAGATCAGGGCTGGGGGAGGGCAGCTACCACGATGGCCTCCTTCTCCTTCTTGAAGGCCTGCTCCCTGGCCTCGAGCTCTTCTCTGGTCAGGACGTGGGATGCCGACTTGATGCGCTCAAATTCCTCAGGGCTCATGATGAGGGACTCCCCAGAGGGATCCTTGGCGGGAACGCTGCCCCAGGGGATGGCAGTCAGTGGGGAGGCGCAGGGAAGCTCTCAGCACAGTGTTGCTGGTGCTCAGGCCCCCATCACCCCTCCCCCATCACGGCCCATGTCCCACAGTGCCACACCAATGGCAGGAGAGACCGCCCGCTGCACCCCTGGCCCACCGGGGAGAAAGGGTCCCAGGTGAGGGATGAGCTAAACAGAGACATTTTAAGGGCTTTCACTAAAAGGCCTAGTATGTGTGTCACTTTCTCTGTGCACCCATCAGAGAACCTCCCCCCCAAGTGCACATAGGCCAGTCTCCCCAGCCAGGCCGAGAGCCAGCCTCCTCGGAGGCCACCACGCTCTGCCCTCATGGACTGGGCTGTGTCCCCCACCCCCAGGCATGGCCTGTGTGCTCCCCCAGGACGCAGCCTCTACTGGCCACAGTGGCCGCACAGCCCCCCGGCGCCGCGCCAAGCCCAGGGGGAGACCTCAAAACCGCACTGGTGAACTAGACTTTAAAAATAGCTTATTTCTCAAGGATGACAGGACGCCAGCCCAGTTTGAAATGGATGCTATGAGAAACCCAAGCATGCTTGTCCATCCGGCCCAGAGAGAAGCTTTGAACCCTAAATATTAATTAAAATCTCTGATCAACAACAGTCAGAGGCATGTCTGGGTACCTCTCCTCCGAGCCGCCCAGCACACTCAACAAACCAATAGCTAATTATAATGATTACAAACAAACGACAGGCACTGGAGGTGGAGACTACGGCAGCACCAGGGCCAGGGACGAAGCTGCTTCTGGGTGAGGCTCTTTAACAGGGACACAGCAATGAGACGCAGCCGGTCTGAGGCAGGAAGTGAAACCTCATCTCGCAAAACGTGTGTGTGTGTGTGTGTGTGTGTGTGTGTGTGTGTGTGTGTGTTGGGGGGCAGTCCAGGAGGAAGACTGAATGAGTGAGTGAGTGGATCCGGGGCTTGGCATGGGACCTGGAATGACCAGGACGGATCTCACGCTTGCCGGACTAGACCATTCCAAGAAGGAACCCTTCCTTCACCCCACAGGGGGCTGCAGGACGGCGCGGACCATGAATGGCCATTTGCCACCATGACTGACTAGACCACGCTCCGTGTCCCTGGGCTCGTGACACAGACGGCACTTCCTGGGAGCTCAGATTCCCCGAGGGCGAACCCAGAGTTGGGAGGACGGTTTCCAAGATAGCAGCTCACCTCCCCCCACCAACCCGCGCCCAGCGACAGCTCAGTTCCCACTGCTGATAACCCACAGGGGTGCCAAGCAAGGAGGCAGGTCCAGTCAGGAAGCCAGGCTAAGCCAATCCCAAAGGAACCCAAGAGACCCGGGGAACTTTCTCTTCTGGCCTCAGAGCCTGGGAAGAAGCCAGGGGGCCGATTAGCATCTGGTCAGTTTCCCTTTACTTCAGATCCTTGGTGCAGCCAGAAGGGGTTGACTCATCTGGACCGTTTCCCTTTACCAAGAGCACTAAGGAGGGCTCAGCGAGGACCCACCAAGCACGGTGCCTCTCGCAGTCCCACGGGTCCCTCCACAGCCAGGAGACAGGAAAGAGGAAGGAGCTGGGGATCGAAGGCAAAGGCAAGAATCGATACAAGAGGCAGAGAAACGAGAGAGGCCAGATGCCGAGGAAGGACAGCCAGGAAGCGAACGGGGGAGATGAATAGGAAAGGAGTGGGGCTGGGCTCTCTGGAAGAGACCAGATGGCTACTCTCCCTGCTCAGGTTCTCAGCAGAAACGCAGGCCGGGATGCGGAGGCAGGCACTGTGCCCTGGGTACTCACATGAGCTCCCGGACCATGTCCCGGGTGATGAGCTGGATGGTCTCCGGCTTGTTCTCCAAGCCCAGGGCCGTGAGGGTCTTCCTAATGGCATGCTTATCTCGGAGGAGAACGATGGGGCTGTTGCTCTGGGCCAGAGGCTGTGGGGTCAGGAAGGACAGCTTAGAAGCTGGTCAGCCCACATCCTACGGGTCCATCCCAACTTCCTCAAGGGCAGCCTTCCCTGCTTTCTTCCAGCCCATCCGGTGGCAGAGAAGGCTGGCTGGGGCCCAGACCTCAGGACCACCGAGAGTCTCCAGGGCGCTGAGGAAGCAGCACACGGCTTTGCCCTTGACTATGGCTGTGTGCGTTCCTCCTGACCAGCCCATCTGAGAGCAGGGCCTTCCTGTGTCTCATGCAGATAGTCCTGGATGGATGGGGAGGGGAGTGGCTAGCTTGTGTCCATTCCTAACCTAAAACCATCAGGGATGAAAATCTGGGGTCTCTCGTTGCTCCCCCTCCCCCTCTCTCGTTGCTCCATAGGAAAGAAGAAATAATGATCTCTCTCGGACCACATTGTGGCTTGAGATAATACAATTTGTTACAGATTCATCCGATCTATGATATTCGAAATTTTTAATCTTTCCTTATGATTAATTTACTTTGGTTCCCCCAAAAAAAATCATATGGAGGACGTTAGAAATGGCCAAATGGAATGCGGTGAGCATGTCAGGGAGTCAGAATTAGCGGGAATACATATTAAATGCATGTTTTGCTTTGTTTTTTTGTTTTTTTGTTTTTTTTTCAAAACATTCCGGCCATGAAGGAGTCAGATAATAAGAAAATGAAACCACTTATTTCAGGAAAATTCTGGACACAGGAGAGAATTTTGTCTAAAGAATGCAATGACCGTGATCCTGCGTGGAGGCCAGCGGCTGGCCTGGGGGGGGCGGGGAGGGCCTTCAGGTCCTGAGCGCCCTTTGCACAGACCGTTCCCCAGAGCGCTGCTGCCACCTGCTGTCCCTGTGTTTCCAAGAGGGCGCGCCTCGGGGGCGCCACAGACCGCTCCTGCCCCCTGCTGCCAGCTGAGAGACCTCGGACTCCCCCAGCAAGGAGGCCGAAGGGCCAGAACCCGTGTGTCTCCGAGGGCCCCTCCCGCGAGCCCGCTGGACGGCGGACACCTGGAGAACTTGGCCATTTCCAAAACATTCCGTCACCTCACGGGCCCAAATCAGAACCTGTCTGTAAGTGAGGGTGTGTTCCTTCGATTCCTTCCCCGTCGATAGAAAACTGTCACAGATGGGGGTCTTCTAAATGGAGAACAGCGGGGCACTTAGGGGGCTCAGTCTGTTAAGCATCTGCCTTTGGCCCCGGTGCTGGAATCGAGCCCTGCTTCAGGCTCCCTGCTCACTGGGGAGCCTGCTTCTCCCTCCGTGTGCTCGCTCATCTCTCTCTCTCTCTCTTTCTCCCAAATAAATAAATAAACACATAAATAAGAAAAAAAAATAAATGGAGAAAGGTGCCCGTCTTGAACTCTCTGGAAAGTTTTGTTTGTTTGTTTGTTTGTTTGTTTAAAGATTTATTAATTTACTTGAGAGAGAGAAAGAGAGCACCCAGGGGTTGGGGGGGGCAGAGGCAGAGGGAGAAGGCCTCCCCAAGCCGACTCCCGTGATCACAGGTCACACCACCGAGCTGACAGGCGGGTGGGGGCTCGATCTCACACCCCCGAAATCAGACCAGAGCCGACACCAGGAGTCACATGCTCAGCCAGCTGAGCCCCCCAGATGCCCCCAGCTCTGAGGACAGCGAGGGGCACAGACATCCGCTTGCCTCCCGCCACCTGCCCATGCAGAGGCGTCCGTGCTGGCGCTCACACAGCTGCTGGCATCTTTCCCGTCCTTTGCTCCGTCCGTCTCTCTGTCTCTCACTGCCCTCTCTCCGTGTCGCGTTCTCCTCCGTCCTTGCCTCTCCTCCTTCTCACCTGCTACACGTCCTGCGCACCGAGAACAGTCCGAGTCATGCTCTAGCCAGCTCTCCTCCTCCGCATGGAGGAGGACCACACCGGCCCATGAAGACCTGCTCGGGGTTTCCCAGAGCTGATGAGCCCTGCTACTGGAGCACTGGGAGAGGAGGATCTGTGGTTGTCTCTAACGCTGTCTCGGGTTGGGGGGCCATGCGTAGCTCCGGGTCTGCGAGCTCAGTCCGTGGCCCTCGCACACCTTCCTCCCGGGGCACTCACTGGCCCGCCATCTGCTCTCTGCAGCAGAGCCCCCCAACCCCGACATCACAACAGCCAGGGCAGATGTGAAGACTGCAGGGGTGGAGGGAGCCGGGTGCCCCCGTTCACAAGGGCCCCAGTAGGTGCCAGGGTCCCGCTGCTCCGGTCTCCCTCTGAGAGTCAACCTGGGGAGGGGACGGCTCACCCAGGGCTGGCTTCATCCTGAGCAGTGCCAGTCCGCCACTGCCCCCCGAGCCAGCTGCCGGGAGGGGCTGGGGGACGGTTACCTTGACCCCTCCAAAGAGGCTCTCATCCACCTCGGAGCTCACGGCTTTGGTCCGATAGCGCGTCCTATTCCTCGACCTGTTGGAAGCGGTGGAGGCGGAGCTCAGGACGCCAGCGGTGCTCAGCGGCTGCAGGGAGAGGCAGAAAGGTCGGCTCATCCGTACCGAGAGGCCGGCAGGACTCTGGGCAAGGTAGACACTTCGCCAGCCCGTGCTGGGGAGAAGCGGGTGGGCATGTGGGGACACCACGGAGGGGAAGCACCGGGTAAACCCTGATATGTAGGAGCCTGGGCACAGGGCCTTGGCTTCACCAACCAGATCTCCAGAGCCGGAGATGGAGGGGAGCTGGCGGCACCCGGAGAGCCCAAAGAAGCTCTGGTGGAGGCAGCGCAGCAGCCGCAGCCGGGATCTGGGGGAACCGTGCTGATAGGGACGCACGGCAGCACCCCCACGAAGCCACCAGCACTGGGCGGGCCGCAGCGCATCCCGGGGCCTCAGCAGACCGGGTCTGGGTTGTGATTTTGGCCCCGGTTCCAGTTGCAGGGCCTCCCTTTGTCCCCATTTTCCAAGCATAGTTTCCCAGCCAGCAAACTCTCCAAAGCCCCCTCCCTGTGTGCCCCTGTACTTGAACCAGAGTTCTGGCTCTGTTGTCTGCACCTAACAGCACTAGGCAACCTCCACTCCCACAGCCCAGCTCAGCCCTGAGAGGAGTCTGTCTCTGGCAGGTGACTTCAGCGAGGACTGAGGGCATCTCCCACCTTACTCTCAAGCTGATCCCAATCTCCCTTTGCAGGAGACATCCTGTCCCCCAGTCTCTAAGCTAAGATATCCTGCAGCATGAGCTACCCACTCGGGGTCTCCCGAGCCTGGGAATCAGCAGCCGTCAAGGGGACAGTGTAGACAGGGAGACGGACCCTGTCGTTCCAGGTCACAAGCCCTGGACAGTGTGTTTCCAAAGCTCTCTCCCGTCCGCCCTAACCAATCAGACTCCCCAGCACCTGCTCCACCGCTAAACCAGTTTATTCTCCAGCTGAGTACCACCGCGCGTGCCTGGCCCCTCTCTGCCTCCCCAGCCAGCAAGAGGCTTACTGGCTCTTGGCCAGTAAGGTGGGAGCCTCCCTTTAGAGCCCCAGGCAGCCCCAATACAGCAGAGCAGGAAAGCTTGGGTTTATTAAAAGGTAAATATAACAGCCCCGAGGACGCCTAATAACAGACTCGGAAGGGTTATTGCATGGTTAGTGGTGAGCCACTGCTTCCCCTTTCCACCAAAAATAGAACCAGAGGAAACGAGTAGACCCAGCAGTAGGTGGGATTGAGGGGAAGCACTGGGAGAGGAGGAGAGGTGGAAGATACCAGATCAGCAGGGACGGGGTGAGTTCTGTCTCTAAGTATGGAAAAAGCCGGGGTGCCTGGCACGTCAGAGGAGCTCGACACGCATTTGATGAAGAGCGAATGAACGGAACCAAGAAAGGTGACCCCTCGAGGGCCACGGGCCAGCTTGAGCTGGGAGCTTCCCCAGAACACGCCTGACTCCAGGCCCCTCCCCGACCCTACATCTTCCAAATCGCTGTGGAAAATAACGCAGTGACGGGGCTTTGAAAGGCAGATGGAAAGTATTATTACTGTTTTTGCATGTGTTCTCCTGTTTCTTTCCAAGGGCTCCTGCAGGTTTGCCCTTTGCTCGGGTGCCCACCGGGTGACAGGCTCCTCTGGGACTGACACCGAGTTACCTCTTTCCTATACCCTTGGCACCCAGCTCAAGAGGAAGCCACTCAAGGGACAGTCCACCGCCAGAGCCTAGAAGTCAGAACAGAGGAAGGAAAAGAGATGACCACAGAGAAGTGGCCAGTGGGCAGGGCGGAGGGAGGCACTGTGCTGTCTTGGGTTGGGTGGCTGAGAAACCTCACTGAGGAAATGCTGACTTTGAAGCCACAAGCCACGCACCATGGTTAGAATGGTCACTTTGGCCAAGAGCAACAAGAAGAATTAGGGAGGTCACTGTGGAACAGCACTCAAAAAAAATGAAGAGCCAAGCAGAAATGGAAAGTTAGATCCCTCTAGGCCAGAGAGGGTAGCCAAAAGGTTCTTTCAGGAAATGAGGGGCTGGTGTGACTTCTTGGATCACCAAATAAATGTCCCCAAGAGGGTGAGCAGCACCCAGAGACAAGCCCGTCTAGTTCCTAGTTCCACTGGCAAAGATGAGGACGGGGCACAGATAAAGACACCAGCTCTGCTTTGATGTTCTCATCTTGCTGACCCAGCTAATTCCCTCCCTTCGAATACCCTCCCATCCCAGGACCGCAGGAATTTGGCCACTGCTAGGAATGTGGGGAGACAGACTCCAATGCCAAAAGATGAGCGGGTCAGTCAGATGATTTTCACTGTCATTGATACAGGACAATCTCCAGAACATATTAAGATCTGAAGAAAGCAGATGAGAAGACCCATGAAAGTTCTTCCTGCGAAAATGTCTGTTTGAAGGGTATGCACCCCAAGGGCATATTAAAAGAATGTTCACCAAACAACATTGAACAGAAATTTGGGGTGAGCATTACTATCTTCCGTCGGTTCCCATAGAGAATAATTTTCTGCCATTGAGTCGGTAACTATTTTTGTAGGTAACACACTGTATTTTTATTTGAAAACAGACTTGGCCTTGGGGCTAGTCCCTGACTCTGAACAGAAGGGTGTAGCCCTTAGCAGCAGCATTCGATGTCCCCGATCCCGTACGTTCAGCTCGAATCCGGTGAGAAGGGGTTGGTACAAGTGGTGTGGACAGCTGGTGAGTTTCCCTGACGTGATGGTAACACCTGCCGACTGAACAAAGACCTCTGGCGTCCTTCCCCGGACGTCCTCTTCACCCTGCTGCCCCATTCTCCTTTTGCCTATAGGTTCATCAGGGGCCAGCAAAGGCAAGCTTCCAGCTCTCAGCCCGACGCTATCTCCCTTTCCGTGGGCTGTGGTTACCCAGAAGGTGAGGGTGCCCCAGCACGCGGCTCCTGCCTTTTACTGAGTGATCCACTTAGGGCACCTCTTTCCTCAAATGGGAGACAAGGTAGCATCCTAGTCAGTACGGAGGTCCCAAGCCTCCTTCTGGAGGATGGTGTTATTCACCATTTCCGTAAGAGTCCTGGGACTCTGCCTCCCTGGGCCCCCGCCTTCCCCACGGCCGCCAGCACCTCTCCCCATCCTTCCAAACACACTCAAAAGCTGGTCAGCAGCAGCCACACCCACGCACACGTGCACACACAGCCTGCCAGGAGGCGGAGACCGCTATCTCCACCTACTGCTTCTCAGAGGTGCCCGCAGGCCCAGTCCTGTCCAAGGGATCTCAGAAGTGCTCAGACAGTGGGCTGACCCCTGCCCTGAGTGGCCCTTGGCGGGGAAGCCCGATCTGCTAATTCCCACAAGTCCAGCCCAAGTGCAACTGATTCATTTGCACTGGAAAATATGAATTGTTTTAAACTGGAAAGAAAGGAAGTAACCGTTACTGGGTGCCCTTAGATGCCAGCCGGGATGCCTGAGGTGACGCTAGGCTGTCCCAGATAAACAGATTACACCCTGCACCTAGGAAGCCCCGGGGAGAGCCCGGGATAACTATGTGATAAAACAGATCCGTGAAGGGCCCCCACTGCCACACCGCAAGGAGTCCTCAGACACTGAGAGATGCATTGGTTGGAGACTAGTTTGTGTATAATTAACAAAGTTCTTGGAAATCCCTACTTGGGGGCCCTGAATTGGAACCACTGGTCCTAGAGAAGCAGCGTGACCTATGGGCATGAAATGTGTCCACAGAATACCCAGGTCACCATCTCTGCCCCCTGGTGTGCCCCAGAAGTTCTTACGTCACTTCCAACACACCGAGGCTCCAGTGCCTACCTTCTGTCTCACTCCCTTATCCCTCAGGGACCAACACATTCCTTACTGGAAACCGGACACCTCTTCACAGCTCCTCCCGGGCCTGGTGCCCTTGTCAACCCTCACCACTCCGTGGTCCTCCCCACCCCAGGGAAGCCCAGGCCTGCTAGAGCAGACCTGGTCCCTCCCCAGGGCCTTTCAAACCTGGTACCTCCCCACCTGTTCATTCATGCACAAGTACTTGGTGAGCCCTAGTGTGGGAACAAAGGTCCCACCAACAGAAGAGAAACCTGAGGCTCAGGGACATTAGGTGACTTACGCATTGTCACTCTGCTAGCAGTGGCCCAGCAGGTCCTATAACCCGCATGTAGCCTCCTTGCGGCGGTTGTCCCACATCACCGCCCACTGTCCCCAGCCCGTGGAGGCTCTAGGCTGACGGAGAGGGAAGAGAGCATCCCTCTCTCTCGGCAACTTTCGGGCTAGCACCCCTCCACGTTTTCGAGCCCTGTCGACCCCACCCCCAATTCCCCCAGTGGACCCTCGTCGGGACTTCCCTTACTTCTTCTAGGCGTGTCCTCTTTGCCCCTGGCCCTTCCGGACCCCAGACCCTGACTCATCTTCTGCCCTCCCCAGCTCCCCGCGCTCCCCGCTCAGAACCCCAACCCAGTGAAGGACACACGAGGGCCCCCTCCCTGGTCCTCCCGGGACCTCACCATCTCAGCGGCACGCCCGGGCTCAGCGCCTCGGCCACCTCTGCCACCGGCACGGCAGCCTGCATTGGATGTTGATGCGTTACCATAGCAACAAGAGAGCGCGCGAGCGGGAGCCGCGGCCCCGCCCCCATGCCCGCCCCTGGCCCCGCCCCTCGGCTCCGGCGGACGCTCGCGGCGTCCAGAGATTTCCGGGACCCGAACCCCCGCCTCGACCCGGAACCGCGCTCGCGAAAGCCTGAGCCCCGCCAGGGCGCCGGATTCTTCACTGACTCTGGCTGGACCGTAGAGTCAGAACCCGAAACCTCAAAGGCCTGGCACGGGCCGAGGACGTCCAACTGCAGGCACTCCTGCAAGAGCCAGGCTCGGACGCCCCCTGGTTACCATGGTTACTGTTGCCCAAGGGCCGCCTGGGAGATGCCAGGCAACCCTGGATAAGAGACAAGTTGCACACCAGGAGGGAGCCTAGTGAGACCGCAGGACGAACTTCCCGCCATGAGTACGTGTGTGTGCGCGTGCGTGCGTGTGTGCGCGTGCGTGCGTGTGTGCGCGTGCGCGCGTGTGGGGGTGTGTGCGCGTGCGTGCATGTGGGTGGGTGGGTGTGTGCGCGCGTGTGTGTGCATGCGTGTGTGCGCGTGCGTGTGCGCACGTGTAGCTTCAGGAGCGGTTCCTCGGCCCTCCAGCTCAGCCACCGGGGAGGCCCCAAAGACTACCGGCATGGAAATCTACGGAACTGGCCTTAGGAAATCTGCCTTTTAACGTTTGTGTGGACTGTTCTGGAAGAGGTTTTAGGAGCTCTGGGATTCTCCCAGTTTGGCTTGCCCTCACGCCTCCCAGCCTGCAGGGATGGAACTGAGCTGAGGCCTCGGCCTGCTGACCCCAAGCCCCACGGAGCCTCTGCATGCACCAGGCACGTTTCCCCTCCAGCCCGGACGAGCTGAACTCCCGCCAGAAGGCCGCAATGACGCCGTGATCCTGGGAACCACCTCCCACTGGCGAACCTCTCCCCACGCCCTCACAGCCCGCCTTTCTGAAGCTCCCTCCAGCTTGACTTTTTGCTTCCAAGCCCCCCGCTGCATCCGGGACACACTCCGGGCTGGACGGTCCGCAGAGCCAGGGGCCCGAGGGCTGTCCACAGCCCCAGGGGAATGGAGGAAGGCAGCCGGGGTCACCTCCAGTTCTTCTTAAAAGGACTTAACTCCCGCAGACCTCACATTCCTTCTCCAGATTTCCTAGCCTTATCTCCTTTGGGATCCTCAAAAGAACACGGGGGGCGGGACTGAGGGAGGCCACAGTGTAGGAGGTGGGATCGGACCTGGAGGCGAGAGCAGCGACCCCACCGGGCAGGCCTGAAGGGGGAGCACAACCCTCTGGGCTTGGGAGTGAGGGGAGGGCTTTTGGGCTCCTCCCAGCCTCTTCCCAGCAGCATGGAGAGAAGGGACGGGGACGAGGACGTGAGCAGCCTGCCCTGGATGGGACGCTTCCCCTGAGTGTCCCACTGAATCTTCACAGCCACATCTCTGTGTAACCATCCCCATCCCCAGAGAGGAGACAGGCCCAGAGGGACGACCGTCCAAACTCAAACCTTGGTGTTCTTTTCTCAACCCAGGTGATCTCTGAAGTCCAGGTTACGGCTGAGGCAGGAAGGAGAGCAGGACACCGTACAGGGTCAGGAGCCCCACGCCCAGCTTTGTTTGCATTGACCTGGAAGCCCAAAATGCTTCCGGGCCTTCAGGGCTCTTCACTGTGTGTTTGCTTGGAGTTTGCAAAAGGAAGTGGGGTTAGGGATTCATGTATTTTGGCCGGGTGAAACCCGTTTGTGTTGGTTCCCCATCACCTCTATAGTTGCGTTACTGCCTCCCGGGCGGGCTGTAGGTGAGGCTGACTGCGACACTCCCCCCACCCCTCTACCCTGCCACCTCACCTGAGGTCCGGACAGGAAAGTGCTGGCCACATTCTCCGTGGGAAAGAGGGGCTGTGGTGCCCGACACCAGAAAGATTTGCAAAGTGGAAGAAAAACAAAGTTTGACATTTTTTCAGAAGCCAGAAGCCAGTCCGTGAATCAATGTTAACCCTCCTACTGTGTAAAATTGTAAGTGGAGATTCTGTTCTTATCACTGCCGGGCCAAAACAGAAGTTCTCGCTGGCTAGGAAGAGACCTAGTAATACAACATATATGATTATAAACACATTACACATCTCACCAGAGAAGAAACTGCCTCCAGAGGGCCTAAACGTGTTGACAACTTGTGTTGTTGCCAACAATGATAGCCACAGTTTTTCCTTTTTGCATTCTTCTCATAGATAATTTCAAACCCACACACCCACTTGAACTCTTCTGAGTATAGTGAGACAGTCTTTCCGTTTAAAAACTGTTCAAGCCTTGTGTATTAGTTTTCTACTGCTGCTCTAGCAAATTACCCCAAATTAGTTGCTTAAAAGAGCACAAATGTGTTTTCTCATGGTCCTGGAGTTCCCACTGGCCTAAAAACTGAGGTGTCAGCAGGATTGTGTTCCTTACGGAGGCTCTAAGGTGAATCCTTTACCCAGTTTCTGAAGGCCATGATATTCCTGGGCTCATGGCCCCCTGCTCCCATATTTAACGCCTGTCACATCACGCAGCTGAGCAACTCTTAACAAGTCATCCTTCCTTCTACTGGGGAAATTGCTCTCCTTTTAGGGACTCCTGATTAGGTCGAGCCCACCACGATAATCCAAGAGAATCTCCCCATGTCAGGATCCTTAACTTACTCATACCTGCAAAGTCCTTTTACCACGTAAGGTAAATATTTAGAGGCTTGGGGATTAAGAGGTAGGTACTTGGAGGGGAGGTGGTGCCTTATTCTGCCTACCACACATTGCTCAGTAACATGGACCTTTTAAGGATCTGTAACATATTTTCAAAGGTTGGGGAGAGAAATACAAAAAACGAAATGCAAAACTATTTATTCAAAAAGTTGATAAAACTTGAACATGCCTTTCTAAACTGATCTTGGAAAGTCTCTCTGAAGATTTAAATAATGTAAGTGAGATTGAACAGACGTGGACCTATGTCAAGAGGACATCCTCTTCGGGGCACCTGGCTGACTCAGTCGGGAGAGCGTGCCACTCCTGATCTCCGGGTCGTGAGTTTGAGCCCCATGTTGGGCACAGAGTTTACTTTAAAAAAATTTTTTTTTAATTTTTTAAAAAGAGCACATTCCTTTCTTTCATCAACTTCAAATGTATGTGTTAAAGAACAGAAAAGTTACTTTAAAATTAATGAGTTTATTCTGCACAAGAAAGGAAAACGATCAACAAAATGAAAAGGCAATCTATTGAATGAGAGAAAATATTTACCAATCGTGTATCTGATAAGGGGTTAATATCCAAAATATATAAAGAACTCCTACAACTCCACAGCAAAAAAGAAAAGAAAAAGAAAAGAAAGAAAAGAAAAAAGAAAAAAATCCGATGAAAAAATGGGCAGATGTTCTGAGTAGACATTTTTTCCAAAGAAGATATAAAAGTGGGGGCGCCTAGGTGGCTCAGTCCCTTAAGCGTCTGCCTTTGGCTCGGGTCATGATCTCAGGGTCCTGGGATCGAGCCTGGGATTGGGGGGGCCGTCCCTGCTCAGCAGGGAGTCTGTTTCTCCCTCTTCCTCTACCCCTCGCCCCTGCCCATGCTCTGTCTCCGTCTCTCAAATAAATAAATAAATAAAATCTTTAAAAAAAAAAAAAAGGCATACAAATGGCCAACAGGTACATGAAAAGGGGCTCAACATCACTGATCATCGGGGCAATGCAAATCCAAACCACAACGAGATATTAGCTCACACCTGTCAGAATGGCTAGTTTCAAAAAGACAAGAAGTGACAAGTGTTGGCAAGGGTGTGGGGGAAAGGAACCCCTTGTGCATTGCTGATGGCAATGTAAATTAGTGCAGCCACTGTGGAAAACAGTGTTCCGCACACAACTAGAAAGGGAACTGCCGTATGATCCAGCAATCAACTAACGGGTATTTATCCAAACAAAACAAAAACACTTAGATCAAAAAAATATACATGCTTCTGTGTTCCTTGCAGCATTATTTACAATAGCCAAGACATGAAAACAACCCAAGTGTCCACCGATGAATGAATGAATACAGAAAATGTGATATATATGTTATATATAATGGAACACTAGTCAGCCATAAAGAATGAAATCCTGCTATCTGTGATAACATGGATACATCTCAAGGGCATTTTGCTAAGTGAAATGAGTCAGACAGGAAAAGACAAATGGTATGATCCCGCTGTTGGGGGAGGTCATCAAAGACCTCACCACTGGTTGACCCGTGAGCTGGACCCAGGCAATCAGAGGCTCCTGAGCCCCACACTGACCTTGGAATATGGGTTCCACTTGGCTTTGCCACTCCCAGAGGCTGCTCCAAGAACACAAGCCTTGAGAGACCGATGTGGCACTGAGACCATTTGGCCAGTATATGTGACTGGACCCAGCTAAGGACTCTCTGTAAACTTTTAAGATTTTGCGGGGGCAAGTGGAAGATCCACTCGTCTGGCTCCCACCCAAGGCACAAACTCCCAGTTATCAAATAAGTAAGTCACGGGGATGAATGTGCAACAGGACGACTGTGGTTAATAATACCGTATTGTATATTTGGAAGACGCTAAGGGATAGACCTTAACATCTCCCATCATAAGAAAAAAAATGTGTCAACATGTGCGGTGACAGACACTAACTCGACTTCTCGTGGTGATCATTTCTCAGTTTATACAAACACTGTATCGTTCTGTTGCACACCTGAAGCTAATATAGTGTTATGTGTCAATTATATCTCAATAAAAGAACTCAGTAGGTTTATGAAACCAAAGTGATAAAAATGAACCATGAAATCAGTACAAATTATTATGAAATTGAAAACTAAATTGTAGCAAAACTGTTCAGACTCTATCAACAGCATAATTCAATAAGAGAAATAGACAAATTTTGAATAAATAGGCCCTTGGATTGTTGAATAATCCAATTAACAAGGAGAAGAAAATCCTATGAACACATCAGGAGTGTATCAGATTTCCTGTTGATCTGACATAAGATACTGACGTTGA